GGGCTCTAATATCAGCCACAGCAATCTGAATCCAAGGAGAGACATTTCATGTAGTTATGTCCTGCCTTGTCTTCTCCCAGCTCCTTGTCTTTTGTTTTCCATAGAATTTAGAGAAAGGAGATGCATCCTAGCTCTAACAGAAAACAAGTCAGAAAGGTTGCTGCTCACAAAAAAGCAGCTTTCACAGGGACGCAAACACATCTACATTTGTATAAGAGTAGAATTGCGTAGCTGTGTCTGTGTGAGACCAAACCTCATGAAGAGATTTTCCAAACTGCACCATGAGTAGTGAAACGTGGGTGGAATTTTTCTGCCCATTGATGCTAAACAGAATACAAAGCCTTGTGCAGATTCAGTGAATTTGCTAGAATAGGGCCTGATTTCCCCGCAGCGTCTGTTGCCTCACTGACTGTTGGGTTGATTCAGCCCATGTGCCGTCCCCTTCCTTCCTCAGCTCCAGGTGAGTGTCTCCAAAGCTGTGCCCTCATCCAAAGCCAGCCTTCCCAAATAGAAAGAGAGCGGTTCCTGCTCAAGGGTATGGAAGGGATGGCGTTCTGCTCCTGGACCGCCAGAAAAGCCCTGATGGTTCACAGACTCCACAGCAGTGTAAAGTTGCGTATTCTTGTGAAAATACTGGCATTGGCGTATGAGAAAATGAGTGACACAGGGAAACGATGAAGCATGTAAGATCAAAAGTGATAAAGGAAATAGAAAAGCCGAGTGGTTAGAAACAAAAAAAAGACTACTGTTTGTAAAGTACTGTATTTCATTTGTAAAACATGGAACTTATCAATTTATCAAAATAAGAAATCCTTCATCTTCTGATTAAAAACTGTATGGTTATCCTTTTAGATCCAGTGCAGATCTGACATGCTTCATTTTAGAACTGATCTTTAACGTGAGAATTATCTCTAAGGAGATTTACATTTGATTTTTGGCAATTTAGAGTAAAGCAAATGAATGATAGGTGGGTAAAGATGGATCATAGACTCTCTTCCCTCAACGTCTTATGAAATAAATAGAAAAAGCAGAAAAATAAAAATAAAATCAAAAAAGAACCAAACAAAGAAAAGGATACAAGTTCACATAATAAACTTTGACAAAGGGCAACCAAAGAAATGAACAGAAGACTTACTGAGGTGTAGCTGGGTGCTACTGCTGTCCCCCCCTCCACTCCTCACCCCATACACACACCAACTAGTCATAGCGAAAGACAAGTCATCTAAAGTTCTGACAAGTCTCAACCATACCACACCAGTTTGGAGAAAAGCAGGTGAAGGAGAAGTAAGGAGAAAACATTTGAAATATTTTTTAAAGCCCCTAAATACCCATCATAAGGTCTTAGCAGAGGCAAGAAAATTGCAAACTCGCAGGTGTCCCTACAGGGACAGAATACACCTGAAACCAGGCCCAGTGAAGTTTGGCATTTAATAAAATTCAGAAAAAGACAAGAGAGCCCAGATTCTCCAACAAAGGAGGCTGAGCTTGCAGTCCTTCATCAGTCCTCCCCATGCCTTTGAGCCAACAGGATACAGAAAAGAGTGCGCTACCCAACCCACAAAGGTAGCTCCAAAGGGAAGACTGACAGATCTCAGTACAGGTGGAGAGCATTTCAGGGGGAATGCAGTCTCACTATACCAGAAATGACAGAGGATATGAGTAAAGCCACGCACGGTAAGTTTGAGCATGTAAGATACAAAGAAATGACAGCAACTAGTTATGCAAACAGATTAGAATCCATAGCATGCAAAAAATGATTAAATAAAAGACAAATTTGGTGGAAAACAGATCAAGATGATAAGAAAATTCCCCATAAGTCCCTTGGCTACAAAAGAAATAATAAAAGCAACATTTTTAAAAACAGTAAAACTAACCTCAAAGATCAAACAACAATCCATCAGACGTCAAAAAGGAAAATATTAAATGGTCACCTGTTCCTGGATTGGATCCTGTACCAGAAAAAAACAAGCTATAATGAACATCATTGAGCCGATTTAAAAATATTTGATATGCACTGTGGATTATATTGTATCAATTTTAAGTTTCCTGATTTTGATCATTGTACTGAGGTTATATAAGAGAATGTCCTTGCTCATGGGAAATATATAATAAAGTATTTTTTTCGTGAAGGGTCATGATGTTTATAACTTCCTCTCAAATGTTTCAGGAAAAAAGAGCACTGTGTGTGTGTGTGTGTTCGTGTGTGTGTGTATACACATATGTAAATAGGCCAAAAGACAAACAGGTAGTGAACTGGTAAAGTGTATATAGGAGTTCTTTGTACTATTCTTGCATTCTTGCAAATTTTATGTAAGTTTGAAATTATATCAAAGTAAAAAATTACTGGGCCGGCCCCGTGGCTTAGCGGTTAAGTGCGCGCGCTCTGCCGGGTTCGGATCCCGGGCGCGCACCAACGCACCACTTCTCCAGCCATGCTGAGGCCGCGTCCCACATACAGCAACTAGAAGGATGTGCAACTATGACATACAACTATCTACTGGGGCTTTGGGGGAAATAAATAAATAAAAATTAAAAAAAAAAAAATTATCAAAAAAGTCAAAGCAATACCTTTAGAGAGCTAACTTATTAAGTCAACCAATAAAGAATGGACTATAACCAGCTAAAAATTGAAATTCTGACATAGTAGACAAGCTTGAGAGAATCACAGTAAATGCAAAGGAAAATAAAAACTGGTTAAAACAGTTGCAGAAAATATACATAAATACATCATACAAAGAGGATCCAACATAAACGAAATAGGTTTCTCAGCAGGAGAAAGCCAAATGGAACAGAAAAGCAACTGAAATATACAGTAGGAGAAAATTGCTCTGAAAATAAAGAGAAACTTATTTTGCAGACAGAAGGAGAACCCTGTGTTTTAAGAAATGCTGAATTATTGACATGGAAACACAATCCTGGGTCCAGTTACTGAATTTCAAAGATTAAGAAAAAATTTTTCAAATATCCCGTCAGGAAAGAAGCCTGTTGCATGCAAGAGAGAGGGCGAAGTCAAAACTCAAGGTGATCTCAGACTACTTCTCGGCAGAATGCAGACCCAGATAACAATGAATCAGTACGCACAAGGTTTAAAGGAAAAGTGACGCAAGGAAATTGCCCTCAGCCAACTTGCCATTTAAATATAAAGGTAGCAGGCATTCTCAGACACAAAACTCGAGTAACAGAGCTACCATGAGCCCTACCTGGGGGAAAACACTATTTGACAATTAAATTCAACCAAATAAAAGTTAAATGGAAAAACTAAAGGACACACTAGCACCATATTCAGGGACAGAAGACAGTGCAGAAATGTCTACTACATACAGCAGAAGAAAAGATGCGATCCCCTAAAGTAATCCAGCTAACTTGCCCATCAACCATAAAGATAAAACAGACAATCTCAAGAATGCCACAATCAAGCTTTCTAGAGATGAATCTAAATAAAAGGTTCAAAATTGGGAAGTCATAGTAAAAATGCTGGTGCTGATTACTTAATCCATATGAATTTTCACTAAGAGAAAGAAAAGAAAAGGAAACCTTGAAAAAATGAAAAATTATAACATAACTATAACAGCAATGTATTTAATACTATCTGTAGTTACATGTGGTTAAAAAAAACCCAACAAAGAAATCCTCATCTTTTATTATAGGGATTTAATCATTACTGTCTAAAACTAAGTCATAGTTAAAAATGGCCTTAATCGCTTACTGTTTCTTTTCACCTTTTTTCTTAATTTTTAAAGGGACATTTGTAAAAATTACAGGTTGGACCACATAAAATTATCAATATTCCACTGTTTTTTGTCTACAAAAGGGCAATTTCATATAGTTCAACTTAACATTTTTGTGGTGAAAAAATATTTATCTAAAGTGTACAATTTCCTTTAGTTTCATTTTAATTTTTTTTTTGTTAAATTGGGTAAATAGATACACAATTTAAAAAATTATGTAGAGCACAAATCTATTTTTTATAAAATTATTACTATTTTTCCTTAAATCTATCCATCCTTCTATTTAGTCTTATATGTATAGTTATGATATAAACAGAGATGTCTAAAATGATGCTCATCAAATGTTAATAATGGCTGTTTTCAGAGTAGTAAGATTTCGTGGGGATTTGGCTTCCTTTTTTGTATTTTCTTGTATTGCTTGAATTTTTCAAAACCAAGATGTATTCTTTTTAGGAAGATAACAAAGTCATTATTCTAAGGTCAATAAGGGAGGTTATCACTAAAAAGGAACAAAAATAAAAAAAACAAGGGAGGAGCATGTGAGGAATATACAGGCCTAGAGGTTTCTGGCCTGCCTCTTGGATCTGCAGCTGCTTCTATCAAATTGCATGAACAACTTTCTGATGAAAATTAAGAGGACTATTTCTCCTGATATTTTGTTGCTGAACCAGACCTTTGAATGTTCAAGAATATGGTTATGATTTGCTAGACTACATCCATTGAGGTTTAGGAAATAGAACGCACAAGTATAATTTCTCTTCAAACCAGTCTGCCAACCAGTAGCATTGGCATCAACTGGGCACCCGTTAGATGCAAAGACTCTCAGGCCCCACCCACACATACTGAATCAGAATCTGCATTTTAACAAGATCCTGTGAGGATCTGTGCATACACTGCAGCTTGAGAAATACTGCTTGAAAAGATCTGACAGCTCAGTTTTCCAACAAGGGTGTTGGGCAGTAGCTTTCACAAAGTTACAGGGATTAGTCACTCAGTGGGTTTGTAGAAAGGAGGAAAAAAAAAAAATTTCTGTCCATATGAAGGTCTTTATGCCACAATTTAACTCTGTCTTATGTGGGGTAAGGGGACTATCTCTGGTGTGGCTGTGCATTCACACTTTTTATGACATTTTCAGGGGATATTGAAGAAAACAGACACAAAAGTTGACAGTTAAAAGAGGCAAAGAGAAAGGCCTGTTTTCTTGGAGTGCAATATGAAGAATCAGGCCAAAGGCAGAGTTAACATTGTCTACACTGAAAACAATAGCATTACCTGCAAGATTTCTCAGCACATTTAATTCTTTTTCCAAACTGTCTAAGGTTTCTTGATCAGCAGTGGTGTCTAAGAAAGGCTCATTGTGGTCAGTAACATCAATATATTCAATTTCTGAAATTTCAGAAGCAGCTCTAGATAATGATGGAGCAGCTGCACTTCTTGATCGAGGAGGAGAGGAGGAAAGACAGCTGGAGCTTCTTTTTACAGAGTTGGAAAGTGGTAAATTTGCTGTTGAAGGTCTCTGTGATGTCTGGCCTAAAATGAAAAATGAAAAAAATTTAGGGCCGGCCCTGTGGCTTAGCGGTTAAGTGCGCACACGCTCCACTACTGGCGGCCCGGGTTCGGATCCCGGGCGTGCACCGATGCACCGCTTCTCCAGCCATGCTGAGGCCACGTCCCACATACAGCAACTAGAAGGATGTGCAACTATGACATACAACTATCTCCTGGGGCTTTAGGGAAAAAAAAGGAGGAGGATTGGCAATAGATGTTAGCTTGGAGCTGATCTTCCTCAGCAAAAAGAGGAGGATTAGCATGGATGTGAGCTCAGGGCTGATCTTCCTCACAAAAAAAAAAGTTACATTTAAAAAAAAAAAAAGAAAAAAATTTAAATCAACTGTTTTTAAAATTGTGAATGAGTGCTTAAAGATACCAAATACCAGCCCTTGAACTTAGAGCAGTTAAATTCACGCAACAGAGATTATGAGAAAGTGAACTTTAGATTATCATCCATTCTGGTCTATCACAATTTGTTAATCTCAAGTCACTTTCTCTATGCCATAAAGAACACTTCTGGGTTATTTTCCCCTAATTTTTCTACCTTCAGAAAAAGACAAGCTAATTTTAATATTAACTAAAGCAAAAACATCTGTAAACCAAGTCAATTCCAGAACAATTCAACACCCAATCTTATAATCTATCCCATGACCAACCACTGTGCCCAGTTTCTAAAATTCTAGAGCAACACCACACTGTGCCTGCAAACCTGTAGGATAAACATGGCACCACCTCCTAGTGAACTAATTTCACCTGATGGTGTGTAACATTCTTCTATTAAAACAACTATGGAGAAAAAATAGGCTAGTATGCAAAGTCTTCTAGAAAAACACAAGCTTTAAAGAACCTGAGATCACACCTCTAATTTTCCTACATAGGAGCTCACTCTCTGCTGCTTTATAGGGTAATTTAGTGGGAAAGTTCCAGAAGCACAGATCTAAGGCAGACTATTCCTTTGTTCTACTAGGGCAGTCGCCATTTTGTCTTGACCTATTTCAAAGTTGGATTTAGCTGGTTTCTTCAGCGTGTGTTTCTTTCATAGTAGGAACAAAAAATCCCTTCAAATCTTACACTAACACAACATAACTATATGTATACAATCATTCAGTATTGCTCACAAAATCTTCTAATAAATGCCAAAGGAATAAAGTACAAATTTAGAAATTCATAGTGCAGGTATATTTTTAAATGTACTGAATCATTGTTCTGATTGAGATAAGTATACATATATATATAAAATATAAATAATTTATAAGATAACCTCGCATTCACTTAACACAAATTGGCTTTGTGTAAAATATTGGATTCTTTAAAGAAGTGCTATTGTCATTATCACAAAAATCATGATTTGAGTGAACATATGCCATACAACATTATGCCCACTCTATAGACTCAAAGGAAAATGTAAAACTCAGAAGAGTGGCTACAGACAGCTGTCAAGTATTAACATTTAATGACTACTGAGTTTGTCTTTTTTTTTACCTTAAAAGATCTCCTTTGAATGTAGCTAGTACCCTAAGAAGAATCTTAACGCAGTATGCAATTATTTAAGCAATTAAAACTGACTAAGGTAAGTCCCAAAGGGCACCAATTTTAATGAACATTTCAGAAATCAATTTTGAAAACAATTTTTGTTGGAATGAAATTATGAACAAATTAAAATAAGATTCTGACCTTTTTGTGTCTATTTGCATTCAGAGACAATTCTGAGGAAAAATAACTGGTAAAAATGTGCCTATGTTTTAAGAAAAATAAATGTAAATATCTGTAAGAATTATTTTAATGACTAGAATTTAGAATGATTTCCCCCTTTACCTGTAATATGTAAAGAATCAATATTTTATTCATAGTCATCAAGAAAAGCAACGTTCCATTTCTACACAATGAAACAGTGGTCAGAACAGCCATAGTAGAAACACAGGTCAGTGAGTATAACAGTGGTTCAACTATATAAATCAAAACTTCCAGATCTATGGAGAAAACCATATCCTTCTGTCTGTATTATGCTATGTCTCAGTCAAGTAAAAATTAAAGAAATTTAGAACCTTTATTAAAATAAAACAAACAAATGGAAGATGTTATGAGGAAGAACTGGACTTCTGCCAACATATGCAAATATGAGGTGAGAAAAATTTAACATGACGCAGATGCCCTTCAGAAAATTCAGGAGCATACAAACACTTGCTGAACTCTTCTAACGACATCTGGTTGCCACGGTATTAGAGGTCAATTGATCCCAACTGACAAAAAATGTACACCAGGGGTGGGTCCGACTTGTGCTTAGCACACGGCAAAGAGACAGACCATCTTTTGTACTGGAAATAAGTTCAAAGTGTAATTTAAAGTACCTAAAACATACAAAGAGACAGAAGAGCCTTCAATTTGGTCCTTGATCTTATTTATTTTGTTCATTCAGGAGAGTATGTCATTCCCTCTAATATTTCCTGTATAAGCTTATTAATGTTATTGCTAGGGTTAAGATTTGAAGCACAGTGAAGACTGGCACCAATGAAAAATGCCATGATTGCAGGGATCACTCTATAATTAAAAAAAAAGTCCAGTTTGTAGATTATAAACATAAGAAATTCATTTTAGAGTAACTGTCACTTTACATTGCCATCACTGGCAATGTAATCTTAGGAAATTATAGATTAACACTAATCACAGTTATACTCTAAATATAGCAAAAGAAATTGTCCTTGGTATTAGCTAAAGAATATACATGCTCTATGATTACTAATGAGACCGTGCCAAATATTGGGAAGATAAAATAGAAGCGTGCTTTGGGTTACATTAATGGGCATAAGAATGCTGATAAGGACATGAAAAATATGAATCACTCACTGAATAGTATTTAATACAACAATAATTGTTACTGCAATTCTAAATATAAACATTAAAATTAGATGAAACATAAGCAGAGCAACATGCCTTTTGCACAGTGTTCTAATAACAAAACATTCTGATCAAAGGACCCAATATTTTATCCCTGAATAAAGGTTGCAAAATATTTTTGTCTTTTGATATTCTTTCTCCACTGTGTAATTTACTCAGAATTTATACACAAAAAATAAAAATGTATTTTCTTTTTTTTTTTAATTAATTAATTAATTTAGTTATTTATTTTTCCACCAAAGCCCCAGTAGATAGTTGTATGTCATAGTTGCACATCCTTCTAGTTGCTGTATGTGGGACGCAGCCTCAGCATGGCCAGAGGAGCGGTGCGTCAGTGCGCGCCCTGGATCTGAACCCGGGCCGCCAGCAGCGGAGCGTGCGCACTTAACCGCTAAGCCACAGGGCCGGCCCCCAAAAATGTATTTTCTAAGAGTTCTTGATCCATATATGGAAATTTTATTTAGCAGCACGGTTTGGTAGAGAGAACACTAAACTGAGAAGCAAGAAACTTATTGTCTACTCTTACTGAATTAGAAGCCAGCCTGTGACCTGAGACATAAAAATTCATATTTCACATATAAAATTAAGGAGTTGGACAGAATGACGTCTTAAATACCCTCCAACTCTAAGAACCTATGAATTAATACCCAATCCGATTTTATTTTAAAATCATTTGTCAAATCCTAAAACTGCCAGGCACTGTGTCAGGATCAGGGTATTCAGAAGTGAATGAGAGACTCTGCCCCTCCGTTCAAGTTGCGCTCCAAACTAACACACAGTCCTGCTATCCTGCTTCACTCATCACAAACACTTCCTAAGCGCTGACAATGTACCGGGCTGGGTTCCATCACTGAGGATACAACAATGAGCGGGACAGGTTAGGTTCTTGCTTTCATTCCAATCAAAGGTAGGGCGAGCAAAAAATAACTAAGTAAACAAAAGAATTTCATCTAATGATAGCTTCTATGAGAAAGATGCAAGAAAGTAAATGTGATTGAGGGACTCAAGACACCAGCATTAGAGAGGGCAGTTTCAGAAGGCCTCTCTAAGGAGGCAGCATCTGGGCTGAGATGGAATAACAGGAAAGAATCAATTATATGAAAAACGGTGTGAAGATGGAGAGCGAGGCTGCAGAGCATCCTAGATCAGAGGGAAGAGCTAATTCTAAAGCTAAGAAGTAAGGGTGTGGCCTGAGAACAGAGAGAAAGCTAGCGTGGCTGCAGTGTGGGAGAAGATGTGGTTTAGGAGAGATGGCAGGGCCAGCTCAAGTACTGCTGTGTGATGCATGATAAAGAATATAAGTTTTTTTCTATCTTATATAAGAAACTACGGAATGCTTTTAAGCAGGAGATTGACAAGACACAATTTATGGTTTAAGTTTACAGAAAATATGATTCATTCCCTATAAATTATAAACAATTTTATGACTATAAATATAAACAATTCACTCACTGACTAAAAGCAGTAGAATATGATGGAAATTAATCATAGCAACATGTTTTAGAGAGAGGCATAAGTGAAAATGAGAGACAAGTGAGAGATGATGGACAACTGGCTTGGGCTCCTCTTGAGCAATAAAGATGGAAGTGGTTAGATTTGGGATCAATTTCAGAACTGAAATCAGCAGGATTTAGGCATGAATAGGATGTGGTGGGTACCAGAGAGTCATGATGACTCCCAGGTTTCAGACTTACAAATGTTTGGATGACTGTGTCATACAGAGACAGGAAGATGGGGTGGGGAGGAGTAGGTTTGGCAGGGGTGGGGAGAATCAACAGATGCTGCTAAACACACACATTTCACATCTATCATGTTTTTACATTCACAAACATAAAAATCTTACAGAAACAGGAATTCCTTTATATACTGGCATCAGTTCAGAATATAAGATTTCTATAACTTGTGATATAGCCAGGAAATTTTTATTTTTATTTCAGGCCACTACCTCTGTCCAGAAAGTCATTTCCCACTGCCCCTAACTGGTAAATCTTATTAATTCTTTAAGATTCAGCTGAAATGTCACTTAGTCTCTAACACCTTGCATATCTATACTTTTCAATGGCAAAGCAATTATTTTACCATCTCCATTCCTAAAAGACTGTACAGGTCCTTACCTGGATTATAACTGATCTCATATACTATCATTAATTACCTATCAATCTCCAAAAGTATATTACTCACATTCCTTTTATAAAACTTTATTATTAAAGTGTAATTTAAATGTTTACATATCTATATAGCAGTCTTCTCAAGTCTGATTTTTGGATCAGCATAACATGAAGTTGTTGATAAAACAAATGCAAATTCTTGGACCGTATCTCAGCCTTAATGAATCAGAATCTCTGAGTGAGGTGGAGAAATCCTCATGACAACGGGCTTCCCAGGTGATGATGCTCACATTGGCCTTTGAGAACCTCTGCACTGGACTCCAAGCTCTCAGGCTACAGAGGTGAGGGCTCATTTTGTACCCCCAGTGTCTGGCTGTGCCTGGCCTAAAGTAGGTGCACCTACAAATGTTTTTTATAGTAAATTATTGATTTCAACTGATCACTCCAAGTTGATACTTAAAGGCATTTGGCTACTTATTTATCAAGATTTGTCTTAGTTACAAATTTCTCGTAGCATGCATGTGAACTTGTTTTCATCCACTTATAGTGACTTAAAACAGTTCCTTTGACTGCCTCAGAAGGAAGCATCCAGAATTTTTGAAGCTGCTCTAAACATTTATGTGAGAATAGGTACCTAATTATAGAGCCAAAAAACATTCATCATAAATGGATGATTTTTTCACTAAAAAAACCTTTTAAATCTGACAGATTCTCTACATAAATGCATATGGAAAGAATCTAAGCTAGACAAGGAGTTTTAATCATAGGATTTAGGGCAAAGAGAGAAATATAAATCTTACATATTTGGAAAAATCATATGTAATTAAATTTCTGGCTTGAAGATGGCCTTCAAACGCAGGCAAATAGCCCCGTTTATCAAGTGTTCCTCTTAAACCATGAGCTCCCGAGATCAGGAAAATGACCTATGCATCCCTTTTCCCCCACAGCCCAGCACAGAGTCAACATACTCAACACATGTGTGTTGAACTGCCTCAATTCCTCAGTATTCTACTGCAACTACATATGAAATTCAGCATAAAGCAAACCTACTTTAGCAGGTATTATTGGATAACAATAACGACCTAATAATACTGCTGATTTTAATGATGTCAAAATTCTCTGCATACACTCACTGGGAAAACATTACAATGAGCAATCAACATGTCAAAAGAGTTATCCTGTAGACAAAATAATCTTGAGATTATTTTGGTTAGAGAATAGAGTTAATGAACTGAAATCAAGATTCCAGCATTAACAGATTCAGCATTGGGTTAGAGGTGTCTTAACCACAGCTATAAGCCCGAATCTTAACCTAAGCCATTCATTTCACAAATTCCTATGTGTGATCATAATATGAACCAAGTGGAAGACTATGCAAAATCTAGTATAAATACACTGTTTGCTGAGATTGTAATGAAAGTGAGTATGTATTTTATAAGTACTGTTCAAAATATACACCATATCTTGAGCTACGCTTTGAAAATATTATTCCTAAAACATTGTTACAGAAAATAACTAAGACCGTAACTCATGTTTTTGAGGAGAATACGGTAAGGACTATTCCTGGTTTTTTGGTTTAGGAAGAAAAGTCCAGGACAGTTAAAATGAATAAGTTTACATTATGAAACTGCAAAAGCTAATTTTCAGGTGCCTAATAAACTGCTAAGAAACAAACTAATAAACAAAGTAAGCCACCAGAATGCTCTGGGGCCTCTAGCCACTCTTACCTGTCTTCTGCTGAGTTCTACTTGATGACGGGTTCTGGGCTTTCTGCAGAACACCCAGGGCAACTCTGTCCTCAGCATACGTACTTATGCTATGGTCTGGGATCCATTCTCTGTCCCCTAAGATGGAAAAATGGTCAAATAATACAAATTTTAAAAAAGAGAAAACTCCATGTTGTTGCTTTATTATATTTATCATTTTACTGGATAATATTTAGCTAATTAAAGAATATTTATAACAGTGAGGTATATATTATGAAAGACAAAAATCTCATAATTATACAATAAAAACCATTAGACTCACATAGCTTAATAAAAAGAAAAAATAAACTCTGCAAAGATATTACACACAGATGTTTAAACAGAAACAAATATTTTTAAAAATAAATAACAATATAACATAAAGTATAATAGTTTGTACACAAATAAACACATTTGAATACACAGCAAACCTAAGAATAGAGGTGACACCAAGACCTAACTTTCAAAAGGAAATTACAGGTATGTCTCAGAAAGCTCACAGATCCTGAGATGTTGAGATTTGCTTTTAAGATGGCATTTAAGAATCCTCATACAATACTTAAAAGTTAATAAAGTCATTCAAAGAATTTCTATGTTATAATTTATAAGGGATATATTTCTAAAAATAATCTCTCCCAGTCTCATTACAGTCAGTCATATTCTCTCACATTCTGATAGTAGCCTTAAATACAAATATGTGGCAACTCACGCAGGATTAATAATTTCAGCTAGTGAAGAAGAAAATGATTTTATTCGTTGAACAGAATTGCCCAGTATTTCCTAAGATGAGGACAAACGGTTTAAAAAAAATGTGTGGGAAAACTGTTAGGTTGGTCCACAGGCCACCTGATTTCATGTCTGAATTTACCTGCAATTGAAATCCTAGTACTGGAACAGCTGCATTCTAAGCTATGAGAAGGAAGTAAGTTGAGTCTTTCATTTTTATCAAAAACAAGGAATCTTTCAAGTCCTTGATATTGTTCAGTTATAGGCTTACTTCTGAGGGCTATTTCTTGTAACAACTAGGAAACAAAATATTCAACAGCATTAAGTTTATTTTATCTCATCAACACAAAGCAGCACATTCATTCATTGACACCTACTGTGTTCTTGACATGGATTCTGCCCTCATCAGGTTTAGGTTCCAGTAGTGGAGACATAAATAATACAACATTTACATAGAGTAGGTTCCGAAAAATGTGTAAACCACAATTATTACATTAATTATCTGAAAGCTACCACCAATCTAAGGAGGAGAGAAGTTCATGAAACAAAGTTTTTCTTTCTCCTTTCTCTCCTTTATTTTCTTCCCTCAGTGTCTTTGCACATAAATTATTCTGAAAAATAGAGTCTCTCTCATATGCTGTGCTTTTGAACTAGTGTCTTTGTCTATACATAAAATAATTTCAAAGATGAAAGTAAAATACCGATGGGAACAAATCTGATCTGACCATGGTCATAAATCCAAGTTAACAAAATACTCACTGTGAAGCAAATATACAAGTAGGAAACAGGCAAGAGCAAGCTAAGTAATTTGTAAAGTTTATATAGCTGGAAACTAGCAGACCTAGGTTTTGAATATACATATGGCTCATTTGGAGTCTAGGCTGATTCCACTACCCTATGAATTCATTTTTTGACATGCTTTCATCCCAGGGAAGAATATAAATGGGATTTAAAACAACACATGTGTCTAGTAGGAAACAGATTAGAGACTCAGACATGAGAGCTCTAGATGGGCTTAAAATATAATCAGAGTGGCTATAAGTATTTAACAGTTCCCTAATGGATCTAATCAGTTCCCAAATGCAGTGTGTCAAGGGGGTAACCAACACAAAGAAAATTACTATAACTCAATTCAAATTTATAAATCATATAAATGATAAAATATTACAACACCAAGCTAGTGATCAATAAAGCAGTTCTGTCAAAAACAAATCTAACTCTACTCTACTCTTGACATCTTCACTGGCTCTCCAGACACTGATTGTGAATTCACAGAACCTCTTCAGCTCTAGTGGAGCTCATATTTGGATTAGACAATTACAAATTTGAAAAGGTTTTTTAAAGCCTTGGTTGACAGATAAGAACTGTGAGAGTGGGTTTGTTTTTTTCCCAAACTCACAAAGTTAACTATTAGTAGTTTCACAACCAGAACCAAGGGCCCCTGACTAGTCCAGGTTCTTCCTGGCACTGACCCGACCTCACTGCTGCTGCTCTAGAAGTCAGCGCTTCATTCCATGGGCAGTTCCACCGTCATGGAGAACTCAATTTCTGAAAATGAAGCGCAAAATGAACTTTCTTGCACTCAATTTGGAAGTCAAGTAACGCCAAATTGCCCCTACTATGCACTCTTGAATTTTCTACTGGAGCACGACAGATTTCTAAGTAATTTCTGCTTAGGGAATGGCTTCTACTACGAAAGGAGGAGATTAAAAACAGTTTATGTCTAGTCATTAGGGATGAAAAGAAAGTAGATTCTACCACTGTGTATAAAGCACTGGGCTCCATGATATAATCATTTACACTTGTTTTTTACTATAATAGTATCAGGGATCAAGATATGACTAGCAGCTTTTTAACATTTCAATTTTAATTATGAAATACTTTAAATATGTAGATATGTACAACACATAATATAACTTGAGTACACAATTTAATATAGGTAATTTAAAAGATTCTATACCAAAATATATATATATTAGACTTTGTAAATACAGCTAGTTGTATCATTGCATTGAAGTTGACATATTCTATTCCAGTGCATGTTTTTGACTTTTATTAACATCTGAGTGTATCCATAAAATATTACAATTGTCTTAAATTTTCCAAAAATGCTATCAGACTTATACTTTACATATTCTTTTACATTTAAATTTTAACATGTTTTTGAGATGTATCCATGTTAATAAAAGTAGTTCTATTTCATCCATTTTAACTGCCACATTGTTGTCCATTATATGAATTATCACAGATTACGTATCTGTGAGTTTTTGCTAAATGCCTTTTATTAGGTTACAGAAGATAAAGTCTCCCCGTAGGGCAAAGGTCAGGCAGGCTGATGGCCATATAAAAGAAGTGGGTTCCACATGCTCAGGATTCCTCTCCTATAACCCGGCACACTGCATATGCAGACGTCACCTCTTCATGGTGCCCTGGGGAAACTAGAAAATTAGAATTCTCATTTGTTCTGTTTGTAGAAATTCCTTCTATGATCAATTGTTTTCTCCACTGGAGGAGGGAGGAGAACAGCCCATCTGCAGTGGGGCTTTGTTGTGGGGACTCTACTATTGGCTAAATTGTGGGAATGTCTTTCTAGAAGGGATTGGGATTTACTTTTGCCAGATACGTCAGGATATCAATTGACATGGATTAACATTATTGGGAATTCCTTGGCTTGGAGATTCTGAGCAAGAAATGTACATTCAAATTCTAAATCTACGCTAAATGAAAGCCCAAGATTTCCATTTTTCAGGTAAGATGTTTATTGACTTGGCCCAGATCACCTGCAGACATACTTTTCCTTTCACGTTGTTGCACCTGTGAGTACGTCTCCTAGTGTATTCCCTTAATGAGCAGACTTTAGGGATCTAAGTTTTTTGCAGAGATCTCAGTTCCAGTGTCCTACTTCAAAAAGGAACAAGACCTGTCACAAAGTGGGCATGGAGATCCAAGCCCCCAGGCAGAAGTAGCAGCAGCTCAAGTATTCATTCTTCTACTTTTCTGGTCCCACCTTCGGTTTAGTCACAGAGATTCATTGCAAATGAATTTAAAGGGTTGTTAAAATATTTGACTTGCCCAATTTCCAAAAAATTTAACATTTGAATTGTCCAATTTCCAAATCATTTATTATTAATAATCATGATTACCTAAGATTTTTAGTATAGAACAGAGATTCAAATATAGTTTTAAAATTTGGCAGCAGTGCAATAATGAGCTACTTTACCCCTTTTTTCCTCTAAGAAGAAACAAAAACTACACCCCTATTTCTTCATATTCTTTCAAGAATTATCTTTTAAACCTTATACTGACATTAAGCTGGTTCTATCTACCAGGTTCTATCTACCAGGATGTGCATTCATTTCATTTTAACCAGTGACTATACAGTAAAAAGCTAGAAAGGATTTCTTATACTAAATTATTCATAATAATGAATTTCATTTAGAAAAGTAACAGCACTCTTACCATGGTGCATGAGGTGGGCCTTAAAGTATTATTTTTCATAGAAAACTATAAGTTATAACGGCATTTACCATATCAGAATTTGTTTCATAGTCATCAACATTCTTTCCCATTTGAGTCACTCTTCAACTATCTTGTGATAATACAAGGTAGCACATTTTAATTTCAACAGGAAGTAACAGTTAAGAATATATTGTGTCAATATGAAATTTTTTATGATGTTTCTTATTAAATTTTTAATATAATAAACATAATAGAGATTTACCAGTGGTGGCTCTGTAGTTTTAGAATCTTCAAAGTTTGGCCTCTCATGCAGATTGCTAAATTCCGAGGATTCTTTGACGTCTTGAGATAATTTCTCCTTAATGGAAGGTTTTTCTAAATCTACATTTGGCAAAGAATTCTTGCTCCCAAGTGATATGCAGGAATCATCAGACTTTTCATTACTTTCTACATCTGTACTTTGCTCTCTGAAATTTCTTCCCAAAAAGCTGCTTTCTCCTAATTTTTCAACGGCAGGAGAATTAACATAAGGATCCACAATGACGTCAAAATCTGTATTTGAAGTTCCTGCTGTTGAAAACACACATTTATAGAAGTTAAATAAATAAACTTAAGCAAATAAATTGATTAAACTGTTCATAAACCAAAAGTTCTGTGGTGTAAATCTTTACCAACAAACAGTATTTTATCAACATTTCTTTACTGAGTTCTCAGTGTTAAAATGCTTTTACTCTGTTTATGTTCGTAAATGATAATCATAGTTTACTCATATATACATTCAAACCTAAGGGAGTTAGACTAATGAAAGGAGGCAAGATTTTGTTTTGTAATGAAATCTTGAAATTGACGCAAACTTTTATTTCAGCCTGTGGTTCAATTCCCACTTTCCTACCCCTCTCCCACTCAAGTTTTACAACAGCAATTTATGAGAAATAATGCAGAGGGAACCTTGTTTCCACATTTTACTTCTTTTCCTTATGACGCCTAGTGATGAGGAGAGGGCAGAGGGCAATCCGCCAGACGAAAGAGCAGCAGCAGTTAGGGGCGCAGAAAATGACTAAGCTGGGACACCTGCCTCTGGAAAGCTATGAAATGAGCAAGATTATATTAGTCACCCACCTCATTAAGTCTCCTTTAAATAAATCACTTGGTTTAGATCATTGGTTTTCAACCTGGCTGCACAATGGAATCATCTGAAGGTACTGTTTAAAATTGTCAGTGTATGAGCCTGACCCCAAACCAATTAAATCAGACACTGGCAGTGGGACTCAAGCATTGTTTTGTTGTTTCTTTTTTTTGCCTCCAAGTTCTCCAGGTGATTATAATGTGCAGCCAGGGTTGTCAAACATTGGTCTAAATTTTCCGAAGACGGAAAATTCTTTAAAAATTTTTGTACCATATTGCTTTCAATTAAAATAAAAATATGTATACCGTTATCCAGATAGAATACTGCTTCATCTGATTATCCCTATTCTCTTTCCAATATAAACATCTTCTCTCTAAAAATAGACCATCTAAAATAGTAGAGGCTATGACTAAAATAGTCTCTAGCGATGTAAATTATGCCTTGCAGCCCAAAAGACTTACTTGTTGAAATCAAATGTTTATATAATTCTGCAATTACACATAGTATTTAGAACTTCCACTTCTAACAACTATCACCTCTTAAATTGCACAAATACTGTGAGAAATGCAATAACTTGTATGTCAGAGAAACACTTTTATAAGAAAAATTTTATAAAGGGTATTCAACTTAGTGAAACTCCCATTATAAGGCTGTGCTTTCCTTCTAAACTTGAACAGAAATTTTCTGATTTTTTTGGTAGAAATAGATGCCATTTCTTATATTTAAATGTCTAAAACTAACCTCTATAATATTTTTGCAAGATTGCAAAATTCCACTATTAGGATCCATTGCTGTTGAAAAACTTACAAAACAGCCTTTTAATAATGTTTAAAATGCAACGCAGAAAGTATAGGTATCATTTAGTCTATTAATTGGAAGCTCTGTCAAGTCATAAAAATTAGATGTCTTGGCTCAACATCAAACATCAATTAATTGAACCCACCACATCAACAGGCTCAACAAATTCCTCAATTTGATAAAGACTACCTATAAAAAACCTGTAGTAACATCATACTCGATGGTGAGAAACTAGAAGCTTCACCCCTAAGATCAGGAATGAGGCAAGGATGTCCCCTCTTACCACTCTTTTTCAAGATCCTACTGGAAGTCCTAGCTAATACAATAAAATAAGAAGAGGAAATAGAAGGTATATAGATTAGGAAGGAAGAAATAAACCTGATTTTGATGACATGATTGTCTATGTAGACAATCCAAAGAATCTACACACACACACACAAAAAAACTCCTGGAACTAATAAGCAATTTTAGCACGTTTTCAGGATATAAGGTCAACATACTAAAATCAATCACTTTCCTATATGCCCCACAATGAAAAACTGGAATTTGAAATTAAATACACAATACCATTTACATTAGCACCCAAAAATGAGATATTTAGGTATAAATCTAACAAAATATGTACAAGACCTATATGAGGAAAACTACAAAACTCTGATGAAAGAAATCAAACAAGAACCAAATAAATGGAGAGACAGTCCATGTTCACGGATGAGAAGACTCAATATTGTCAAGATGTCAGTTCTTCTCAACTTGATCTATAAATACAATGCAATCTCAATCAAAGTCCCAGCAGGTTATTTTGTGGATATTGACAAACTGACTTTAAAGTATATATGGAGAGGAAAAAGACCCAAAATAGCCAGCAAAATATTGAAGGAATAGAACAAAGTCAGAGGACTGATACTACACTACTTCAAGAATTACCATACAACTATTGCAATCAAGACAGGGAGGTATTAGCAAAAGTATACAAAAATAGATCAATGGAACAAAATAGAGAATCCATAAATAGATCCACATAAATGTAGTCAACTGATCTTTGAAAAAAGAGCAAAGGCAATATAACGGAGAAAAGACAGTCTTTTCAACAAATAGTGCTGGAACAACTAGTTGTCCACATGCCAAAAAATGAATCTGGACACAGACTTTACATCCTTCACAAAAATTAACTTAAAATGGATCACAGATCTAAATGTAAAATGCAAAACTATAAAACCCCTAGAACATAGGAGAAAATCTAGATCATCTTGGATATGGCAAAGACTTTTTAAGATACAACACAAAAGACACAATCTATGAAAGAAATAACTGATAAGCTGGACTTCATTAAAATTAAAAACTTCTGTTCTACGAAAGACACTGCCAAGACAATGAGAAGACAAGCCACAGACTGGGGCAAAATATTTGCAAAACACATATCTGATAAAGTACTGTTATCCAAAATATACAAAAGAACTCTCAAATCTCAACGGTAAAAAAAACCAACAACCCAATTAAAAACTGGGCCAAAGACCTTAATGGATACCTTATCAAAGAAGATATTACAAGGTAAATAAGCACATGAAAAGATGCTCAACCTCATATGTTATTAAGGAATTGCAAATGAAAACAACAACGAGATATTGTTACACAATTATTAGAACAGCAAAAATCCAAAACATTGACAACACCAAATGCTGGCGAGGATGTGGAGAGCAGAAACTCTCGCTAATTGCTGGGGGGGATGCAAAGTCACACAGCTGCTTTGGAAGACAGTTTGGCGGTTTCTTAGAAAACTAAACGTACTCTTACCATACAATCCAACAGTCATGTTCCTTGGTATTTACCCAAACAAGCTGAAAACTTATGTCCAAACAAAAACCTACATGTGAATGTTTATAGCAGCTTTATTCATAATTTCCATAACTTGGAAGCAACCAAGATGTCCTTAAGTAGGTGAATGTATAAATAAATTGTGGTAAGTCCAGACAACAGAATACTATTAGCACTAAAAAAAAGATGAGCTATCAAGGCATGAAAATACACAGAGGCACCTTAAATACATATTACTAAGTGAAAAAAGACAATCTAAAAAGGCTCCATACTGTATGATTCCAACTATATAACATCCTGGAAAAGGCAAAACTATAGAGCTAGTAAAAAGATCAGTGGTTGCTAGGGGTTAGAGGGGAGGGAAGTATGAAAGGCAGAGCACAGAGGATTTCTAGGGCAGTGAAACAATTCTGTTTTGTACTATAATGGTGGATACATGTTATTATACATTTGTCTAAACCCAGAGAAGGTACAACACCAAGAGTGAACCCTCGTGTAAACTACGGGCTTTGGGTGATAATGATGTGTCATGTACATTTGTTGATTGCAACAAATATACTACTCAGGTTTGGGATGTTGATTGAGGAGGAGAAACTATGGTTTTGAGGGGGCGGAGGGTATACGGGAACTCTGTACTTCCTGCTCAATTTTGCTACGAACCTAAAACTGCTCTAAAAAATAAAGTCTATTTGAAAAAATTAACTATCTTTAAAGTCACACTTATACGGGCATTTATGTTCACCATTTTCCCAAAGGCAACTGGAATACCATACTCCAAGTAGGTCAAAAAATACCTCTGGACTAGATTTGGAGCCCTGTAAAGTTCCTAGTTCCCATGTGGGCATCGTTCATAGTGGGTCAAAATGATTTAGAGGCTTAGTAGTTGAAGATGTCAAAACCAGCAGAATTACCACAAATCACTGTTCTCTACCAGCTACTACCCAATTAGAAGGCAATCATCAATTTTACAAGTATCTTAAACAATGCTCTCTTAGTACTTCTCAAATTCTTCACATAAGATATATTTACTGTTTTTTCTGAAAATCCTAAGTATATCAAACATGATATTTGAAAGGCAAATTGGAAATAATCTAGTTCCTATATGTAACCTAGGAAAATGACATCTAAACAAGTAAGTGACATATCCAAGGTCACACAGTGATGTAAGGCAGAAATGGAAACAACAGCTGACTCCCAGGCCAGTATACTTTGCTGTGACTGTCTTTAAATGACGATCTTACCATCTGGAAATTGAAACCAGATAGTTGCACACAGCATTCTAATCTATAGATCCCAAGAGAACTACTAGTAATAGCAATGTAGATATATAAACAAGATGATTTGTTTTATTTTGGTTTTATCACTTATGTGAAATACTACATCAAATTGGAATATTTTAGGGAAAGATTTAATGCAAGGGAAGGCAACAGGGTACCAATCAGAATTTTGTCACTAAAAGTTCATCCATGTAATCTTTTAAATGCTAGCTCAGTCCATAATAACTTTTAGAGAGACCTATATTGATTGCTTTTTCTTCCAAATACAAACACTGTTGTCCATTGACTAAAAAGAGTATTTTCTAGAAAACTATATATTTTCAACCTATTTTCTTCTGATTACTAAATTTTCTGGATTTACAATGAACAGCATAATAGGCAAATCTTTTGTATACTGCAATACTCTATTGGTTTCATTGAATTACCAACATTAATTGTTAACAATATTAAGCAAAAAGAAAAAAAGTTACCTTTTGAGTTATCTTTACCATACAAAGAGCTATTGCTCAGATGAAGATGTAAGAGGTCTGTTTTTCCCTTGGTGAAAACATGAGGTTGACGGATGTCATTTTCATACAGAAAACTATTCTGATAATCGTGAAATGTGCAACTTTCATGTTTAGGGACAAGCAAAAGAATAGAATTTAAAGAAATTATACTAAAAAAAGTAAAAAGTCCCAGCTTATCAAAACAAATATAGTAAAACCTTAAAGGAACAGGGTTATTCATATTAATTTAATATTTGTTTTAACCTTACTGCAGACACATTCTAAACTACAAGTAACTAAACAGTGTTATGGATGTAAAAGAAATAGGCACCCGGGCAGAATCTGATTAACTGGAAAATTTCAATTGAAGGTTTCTTTTTCAAATCATTCCAAAATAAGTTTGGCTTCTTATATTCTTTGTTCTAAAAGTAGAGTTATCGTTCAAGCTTATTTAAATCCGATGAAATCAAAATTGTATTACTTAAATAAACTTCTAATTTGTTCACCAATGAACTATAAGAGCTAAAAAGTCGTATGTGGTATTTATGTTTCAGTTTTGCATGATGATTACTATATACAAGCATAATTATAAATAAGATTTTCTATGAATTGAATAATAGATTTAATAATACCTCATACTTCTGTAAGCTCTACAGTACCATCATAAAAACTCATGGATTATGCTTTAACCAGAAAGGTCCTCTTTTGTCACTTATGATCCTTTATGATTCTTCTTAGAAAAGAAGTTCTATGGGCACCTTCAAACCTGAGCTGCAAAACTATTGCCAAACCATCATCAGTAACTTTTTCTGCCTTCTCTAACACCATACACGGTTAGGAGGTCAAAGCAAAGACTTGAGATAAGATATATAAAAGTATCAAATTAGAGAGCTTCGGGATATAGTAGTGGACACAAACCTCTAATCTACTGACCAGAATTTGTCTCCTGCCAAAGCACACTTGCTGCTAGATATCTGGGTCTATATGTCCAAACATGGGGCTTTTTGAGTTCAAGGGTATCACTTAAGCCCACTGCTGTTCGAAAATGCTGACAGAGGCCTAGGCTGACCTGAATATATAAACAAAGAATTGGTGTAGGGGCTACTTAATAGGAACTTCATTTTGCTGTTTACCCAATTCAATACTTTGTGGTCAAAACAGCTGAAATCCTAGCTGAAGTTTCAACAGCAAAGAGGACTTGGAGCAATTTTTAACATTACTAACAAACACAACTAGACATTATTTTATTTTTGGAAATGACAAAATTCTACAAAAAAAGTTACAAAGTGAACCACTATACTTCATTTATTTAATTTATCACACTGTGAAGATAATAGGAAGTCATCTGTAGTTGGAGAGCTCTTTTTGTCTCTCAACCTAATCATTAATATACCTGTTTTATTTAGGATTCATAGCAAACTAAAGTAAGGAAAATCCAAAGAGTATCTTTGGAGAAAAGAAGAAAGCTCCTATGAAATACACCAGATACGGTCAGCTGTTTCAAATAATAATTCCTAAATCCATAACCATCTATTAAATAATCCAGATATTAGGTAAGAGTATAAACATATTATTATAGAAAATTTTCCAACTATTGAATGTGGACAAATATCGGCAACATTGAACACAAATTTAAACATGGCTTAAGTAAAATATCTTCTAACATTAAAGTCACATGTTTTTTACATCATGAATTTCTTAAAGAGAGAGTTGTTTTTTCTGTGAGTTTTTAATTAGCATCAAAAGTGAATTAGAAAGATCTTACCTTTGCTGACTGTCTGCATCAGCTAACTCAACGTTGTAAGGCACGAAGTTTCCTGGATCTTTAACTTCCTCTTCATAAGTCTTATTAAATGCATGTTGTATAATGTTAGTATGTTCAATAAATTTATTATACGTTAACCAGCTAACTTGTAGGCAATATGTAGAGAATTTTCTTCCCACAATTAATGTCATGAGCTCTCTCACTATATGCCATAGAACATGAGTTCTAGGAGAACTAAATAAATTCATTAGGTATTTGTTGAGGGCATTTGCTGTCAGTCACTTTATCATTACTATCATATCCAGCACCAACAATAACAACTTATGTTTTGTTATGTAACCACTAAGTGCCAAATAGATTAGCGACGAAGACATTTTCAGTTTTCAGTTGTCAGTTCTCTGGTCAGCATGTTACAAGCTTACCTTCTCATCAATTTAATGACAAGCACACACACATATATATGCATGTGTGTGCGTATTTATTTGTTCAATACCTTAAATTTATCCAGAGGAGAAACAAAAATGTTGCTAGGCACACACACACACGCACACACACACAAAGCAGAAGCTATTAACCTAAAGAAGAAAGTAGTATTTAAAAAGGTACTTCCTCCATGCTAGTCTTTTTCTGTGACAATCACAGTCAGAGCAATATCGAGGACAAGTGTACATTCAGCTACTGGATGACTAGACAGTCAGACATGTACTGAGTTTGTCACGGCTCTGACGGGCTCCAGCTCTAGCTGATTCTAGTTGGTGTCTTCTAGAGGTTTGTATTCAAGTCATAACTAGACTAAATCCCTTACATCTTAATACTACTTTTCCTTTAAATAGAAAATAATATTAATTGACATTCAGGAAACTAAATGTATACAAATTTTATTAAACAGATACCATATAATGAGACTAATCTTTGTTAAAAAGCCTAACATAAAGAACTAAACAAACACTAAACTACTTTTCTATAAAAGAGTGAAATGTCTTCCCATCTCCCATACCACATGTTTCCTAAAAAATGACACAATATCAATTTACCTCACAAATTTACTGTCTACATTAAAAATAGTACTTTATTTTATTCCTGTCAGCATGTTTCAATTTAAACACTTGTAAATTTCCTATTAAGCTGTTGAATTATGAAAAAAATCTTGTTGAAAATAATATGTAGTTGTAACTACATGTTATGAATTTCCTGTTTGTTAAGTAATATGAATGGTCATTATGCACTTACATCATCTAGTTCGACTATTTTTAGAGATGATTCAGGTCTCTCTATCTTTAATTCTTCTATTGGCAGAAAAAGAGCCGGGTGTTGTATTTTGGTCTCCTCAACTAGGAAATAAGATTAGAAAATAATATCACCAAAGAACATACCTTACCTCATAAATTCCTATCTTCAAATAACATGGCCAACAATCAAAGAATAATGTTCTCCCGTGCATCCACACAAAAATTTAAATGATATCAATTTCCCCAGTTCAAGTAAAATATACATTTTCTTAACATTCATTTTTTAAATGAAACTATTTAAATTAAGGCAAAGTAAATCTAGAGGATGGCAAGAAGAGTGTGCATGGTTTTGACCTGGAGATAAAAGGTACATCGTCCAGGTGAGAACGATACAGTAAAGAAAACCGAAAGCAGATGCTGATTAATGCTTACTGTATACAATTTGAAATAATAAATTTGAAAATATCTAATCAAGGCTGAACTAACCATCACTATCTTCATCATTTTCATTCTGAGAACACTGTGCCTCACTAGGGGTTTTACATTGAGGTGTGAATGTATCCAGTAGCATGCTTTGAAGTTGCTCCTGTGGAGTTCTACAAAACAAGAAAAAAGCAATTGAAAGACTAACATACACTATCTGAAACTTGCCCAGACAAGATCTTGATTTATTTTACAAACGAGTGAGTCTACAAAATTAATGATGAAGCCATAGCTGTATCTCTAATTTACGGAAGAAAAGTATGTTTGTATAACAGAATCTTAATCTACTAAAATAATTTTGTAAATCAAATTAACATCACACGAGATTTTTAAATTGCATATACTACTGTTTTTCATTTAGGATGAACATCAAAGTTATAAGAGAACTCAGTGTTCTTGCAAAAGCCACATGGAGTCCATGAAACATATCACGCTATTTAAAAAGCTAATTTATGAATGTGTATTGTATTTCACACCCTTGGCATTATGTTGATCAGTTCTAAGGGAATCTAGAGACACTTTTCTAAATTTCCACCAAGCCAATAGGGTGATAACATAGGCTCCCGCAACACGAATGTAAGGTGCTCTGGCTGTGGTATCTATCGACCAATTTACAATGAGGTTTGATGTGGTATGTCTCACATGGAAGGCAACAAAGCACAGGAATTCTCAGAGGTCAAGAGTGTGCATTTAGTTCCAGAGGATATTTCCAAATTATTGGGGAGGGGAGTCACTTTTTAACCAAGAATATAAACAGCTGCACAGCCCTCTTAGGCCATGCAAGCTCACAGAGTCCCCACGTAAAAGCCAGGGCCTTCTTAATGGCATTAGTAGGCAACATCCACAAAATTTAAAATGTACCAGACTCTGTTCTAACCAATTTGGGATAGTAAATCTTAATATTAAATAAGCACTAGTATTATCTTAATTTTACAGATGAGGAAACTGAGGCACAAAGAAGTAAACCAACTTGTTCAAAGTCATTTAGGTAGTAAACGCAGAAAAGAAATTTGAACCCAAGCACTCTGCCTCCCCAAGTCCATGTTCTTAATCATTACTCAATATTGCCTCTTTTGAAATTTGCAAAGGCACTAAAGATTTAATAATCTCCTGCAATCTACGGCTATGTGCATTTTCCCAATATATGTAATGTATACATCAGAACACTCCAAAATATTTATATATTATTCAGCTTTGTAATTTGATAAGCATGTCATTTTACATACATAATTTAATTAAATGATGGAAAATATTAAAAAGTAAAGGTCAAAGACAAACTGGTGCCTGGCCACCAGAAACCTCTTTCCAGTTTGACACAGATATACTGTACTAAAAATTCAATCATACATACACATAAACGTACTATTATCCAGAAGCTCCTTCTTCATGAAATGAAAACTTACCAATTTTATGAGTGAAGCCCTGAACCAAAGACTCTAAATAATAAAGCGTTGGAGCTGAAGGTGCCCCACAGATTGTTTATTCTAAACTCAATATTTTGCAGATGAGAAAATGTGGACCAAGAGAACTTAAGTGATTTGCCCATGAACAGCTAGTCAGTCAACGAACTAAATTTGCCTTCTGGATATTGGGACCTTCGCACCAATGCTTCGTTAAAGGATCATGGCACATAAATAAAGGATAAAATATCCATTAGAATAGGATTATCTCACCATATCTTTCTCTTTTAAAATTTAAACAAATTTATTGAGCATTGACCAATTCACTTGAGGAAAGTTGTGATGAGTGGTTCTAAATTTATTCTGTGAACCAGTGTTAGGCTGTTTGCATCAGAATCACTATAAAAGATCTTCTTTAAATACAGAGTCTGATACTCTTCCTTAAAAACACTGACTTTTAGGTCTGTCTGGGATTGGGTTAAGGAATCAGTATTCTAAAAACTTGCCCTGGGTCCTTCTGATGATCAGCTAGACTTGAGAAGTATACGTAATGAAGAGTAGGGGAACTGGAGTGGGAATATCAGCTCATTGCTAATACCCACCCTTAAAATACTCTAAATCCACATCTTATGCTCTCTTTGCTGAAACTTTTCTAGCATTTAAAAGATCCACTGGAGATATTAAGATTGCTATTAAGATCTATCAACGCTTAATGTATTGGTTGCAGGTAAAATACAAAAAATATTACTGTCCAAATCAGAAAAGAAATTCAAAAACAAAGTGCAATGGATCATATATTTATAAGCCTATTATAAAACATGATAGTGATAGGCAAAAATAAAGTCTAAACTGTGATCCTGGTTATCAACAGGGGAAACTTTTCTGAAGCACAGCCTCAGAAATGTATCACAAACTTGTGAATTGCAAATGGATTACTGTACATTAGCATCCATAATTAAGGCATACAGCATTAACTCAAAAATTGATTACTGTTAAAAAAATAACTGTGTAAATAAGACCCTAGTAAATATGTTCACTAACTGTTCTTCCCTACTAAGGAAATTTGCCAACATTGAATATTTAGCATAGCTCTGGACTTCACGTGCCCGTGATTAAAGCTTCTTATATTGTCCAAGCACAAATGATGGTGGTCATTTAATAACAAAATTGTGCTTCTTTTACTGTATAAAAAACTCATTGTGAAAGGCAGCCACCAAAAAAGATAAGTGACTTTGGGATTACTTTTATGTACTAATTCCTAAGCTAGAAAGTGGCAATTGAGAGGTACATGCTACTGAGTTTCACACCTGAAGGACTGTTATGGGTGTCATGCTTTAAAACAGATAGAAACAACTTGGATAGTAGTTCTATAGGTATAACCAGAATAGTACATGAATGAATTCAAAACCCTGCCACATAAACCACAATGGGATACAACTATGTACCTACTAAAATGACCACCAAAAGAAAAAAATTTAAAAAAAAAAAGGTGCTGGCAAGGATGGAGAGCAACTAGAATTCTCATACATGGCAGGAAGGAATGCAAAACTGTGCAGTCACTTTGGAAAATAGTTTGGCAGTTTCTCACAAAGATAAACATACACTTACCATACAACCCAGCCATCCCAGTCCCAGGTATTTACCCAGGGAATTAAAAACTTATATTCAAACAAAAACCTATTTGCAAATGTTTACAACAGATTTAGTCATAATTGTCAAAACCAGAAATCAACAGGATTTTCCTCAACACATGAATGCGTAAACTGTACATCATGATGATGAAATACTACTCCACAATAAAAAGGAACAGATTTCGATCAACTCAAGAACATGGATGAATTTTAAATGCATTTTGCTAAATGAAGGACACGAAAGGCCAGATACCGTACACTAAAGATATAAAGCACTGTACACAAACAATATACTCTATCTTTGGTAAATTTGTGTCTCAGTGATATTAGTTAGCAATTCTGAAACTACTGTATGTGTATATATATATACACAAACAGTAGTTGATAAATTAATGAATACATCATAGATAATGAGAGCCAGGATTCTCACTGTAGGTGAAAGAAACTACAAATAAGCAAAGAAAGAATGTAAATGAACCTTGTGATGCTGGTTTGCAGTCAGAGGTATGAGTGTGAACTCATAGATAAAGTGAGTTTAACTCATCGACGAACACTCATAAAGTGTTTACGTTAATAGATATTGTGTTAGACAGGCACAAAAATAAATTTAGAAGCATGTGTATACTGGGTTAGTATACATACATGTATTTCCTAGATCTGTTCTCTGAGAAGGCCTAGAATCTGTGACACCCAAGTAGCAATGAGCACACCTAGAGTGCAGATCTTGGTTTCTGAACACCATTCTCCAATAAAAGGAACAAGGATTCTTTGGAGAAATGATTCCTGGTGCAGGGAAATGCATCTTGGGTGCCAGAAAAATAAAGAGATGTTCAAAGCAAACCAACCAACAAATAAAAAAGGATAAGGATAGGTTGAAAGGACAGAGGAGTCAACCTGACAGAGCACTCAGTGGTTAAGCAGGACCTATTTGAGCCACAAAATAAACAACACTACTATTGCATATTAATCTAAAAAATAAAACAAATATCAAGAGTCCACATAAATAAACAATTGAATAAATAAATGAAAGTAGGAGAAGGGACATTCTTCCCTGAAGAATTAATTATCAGTAAATTATATTAATTTATTAATCTAATAGATTAATAATTGGAGCAGAAATGAGGGAGACAGAAAATCACCAACAGATCAGCAGAGTAATAATTGCTGCAGGCAAAATCCACTAATAAACGCTAAAATTAGTGGTGAAAGTGTAAGGAAAAACAAGATTTTACATTATCTCAAAGTATCTCCCCTAAAATATTTCTTAATTACTATGATGTGAATATTTGTGCTCCCCGGCCCCAAATTCGTATGTTGAAATCCTATCACCCAATGAGATGGCATTAAGAGGTAGGGCCTATGGAGGCGATTAGATCGTGAAGGCAGAGCCCCCATGACAGGATCAGTGCCCTTACAGAAGAGGCCTGAGAGAGCCATGTGAGGACACAGAGAAAAGAGGGCCATCCATGAACCAGGAAGCAGGCTGTCCCCAGACTCTGAATCTGCCGGTATCTTGATCTGGATTTCCCAACCTCCAGAACTCCGAGAAATAAATATTTGTTGTTTATAAGCCACCCAGTCTATGGCACTCTGTTACAGTAGCCCAAATGGACCAAGACATTAATTATAACGGGAAAAGAGTGATTTTACAGTGGAGAAACTTAGTGACCACTACATTAACCATGTGTTAACCATGTGTTCAAGGTTAACATCCTGGTAATAAGACACACTGACAACATGATCCTGTGACATCACACCCTGAGAAGGGCACATCCTTTTTGTGGTATTCTTCCTCAAAATGTACAACCTTAATGTAATCATGAAAAAAAATCAAACAAACCCAAGTTGAGTATATTTTATGAAACACCTGGCAAGTACTCTTCAAAAATGTCAAGTTCATGAAAGAAAAGGAAAGACTAAGGAATTGTAATGAACAAGGAGAAGTGACAAAACGTAATGTGAGATCCTGGATTGGATCTGAGAGCAGAATAAGGATGTTAGTAGAAAAGCTGGTGAAATTCAAATAAAATCTGTAGTTTAGCTAATAACATTGCACCAATGCTAATTTCTTTGTTTTGATAAATGCACTATGGTTCTGTAAGATGTTACCATTAGGGAAAGCTGAATGAATGATATATGGGGATTCTTTATACCATTTCGCAGCTCTTCTGTACATCTTATTTTAAAATAAAAAATTTAAAAGAAAAAAATCTGCCATAAAATCAGTTGAAGGTGGGGGTGGGGTGTAGATATTCACCTGTCACACAGAGGCTTCAAGGGAGACATGAGGGCTGATTTCAAAAATCTGAAGTGAATGCCATGGAGAGGAGAACTTCAGTTTGTTCCATATTGGTTTAATTGGTAGAATTATGGCCAAGTTTAGAAACCAACCAGAAACAGATTACAGGTCATTAGGAGATATTATAGCAGGCAGAATGTTCCAGAGATGGAATGGGCCACCTCCAGAGCCATTTCATATGACTGAAGGTGAAGCAAAGGCTTGATGACTATTCCTCAGGTACATTCTAGACAGGTCCTCCAACACCTTATTTCTCAAAATGTGGTTCAGAGAGCAGCATTATCCACACCAGCATCATCTGGGAGCTGTCAGAAATTCACAAGTGCAGAATCTCAGGCCCCACCTAGACTACTGAAGAAGAATCTGTATTTTACCACAGTGTCTCGGGGATTCACAGGCACAGTGAAGTGGGAGCGACACTGTTACACAGCAAACTCAGCTGATGGCCATTAAAAGTACCTCCCAACACAACTTGAAGGATGGTAAAATTATGAATGACTCTAATGTACTCAGTCATAGTTGTAGTTTACTATTTTAATAGTTTAATTTTTAGACGCTTTATGAAATGGTGAATCTAACAATGTAGTCTTTGAATAAAATATATTTGAATACTATCACTAAAACTATAAAATTAAAAGTCTAATTAACTTAAAAGTAGGTTTGGAAAATACAGCCTCAAAAGTTTAGGCTAATGTAAAACAACTGACAGCAATACTCCTTCAAAGTAATCTTTCATTTATCACATTATTTTTGCTATTGTTCTTAAATTGCATGCCTTATTTACGCCTTTTCCCCACACATATGTTTTCATTTCTCTAAATTAATGATGTATCACATACATAAATAGAATTAAAATTTTTATTAGAACAGTAGAAACTTCACAGGGATTTAATATTGTTTTAAAATTATTTATGCAAATGTGAAAAACACATACAAAATTCCTACAATAAAAGCATGTCACACAAGGAACATAAATAGTTTTTATATTTCTCATTAATAATGCAAAAATTCAGAAAATACCTCCTGTATTTTTTAAGCCATAATTTTTCCATATAGGATAAACTGTCTTCTTTAAATTCAATCTTCAGTGGTTCTCTCCAAATTTTCAGATTAGTTTGTACTTCACATTCTTCCAATGAGTCTATAAAAATAAACGTAATGTGCATAATTAATGAAACCTCATCTATAAATTACCACATCTTCTCTCAAGATACAGAACTCACCACTTTTGAGGCAAACATGCTTTGATATTTATCTATATAATCAATAGTTCTAGGTTTAAATAATGCAAAAGTGTTAAATATTGGTGATTTATTAAATGAGTGTATAGACAGCTTTCTTCAGTAATCCCCTGAGATGAAAGGATCTTATGATTCACAAAGTTTTTTAAAGCAACTAATTCTTTTAAATGACAAAGATAAATAGATTCATCATATATTCTATAAATGCACACACACATAAAGGTATGTATTATAGCTACTGACAATAATATTTACACATTATGGGAAACAGAAAATAAATAACTCAGAATGTCACCTGGAGGAGACAACTGTCCTCATGAATTTATATCTACATGGCAATTTACTTCCAGATGTTTCTAAGTACTACTAAATTAAAACCACTATTCAGAGATATTTAAAACCGATGGAGATTTCTGGGAAAGAAAGCAGTGTAATTCCAGGATTACTAGTCTCTCCACTCTCCCAGATATCATCCCTCTCTCCAAACTGACCATCACAGCAGGAAAAATGTTGGAGGAGAAGAAAGGAAAGTGATAAAGATGGAAAAAATTATTTTTATAGACTTTAAAACTACAGAACAGTCCCAGTCTGACTTTAGACTTGAATGATTAGCTTCCAGAAACAGCCAAATGTCAGCAATTGAAATAAACCAAAAGAATGTAAGTCACCCCACTCTTCTTCCCAAAAACTAGAGCAGCCCTGAAGAAAGCAATTGGAGGAAGTCCCAAGAAAAACAACCAGAATGTGTTAAACCGAAGGAGCAGGAGTTAAGCACACCAGCAAGTAAGTCCTGGGAAAAAGGAGATCCCTCCACTGTGAGTTCCCCTTGCCACTGCAAAAGAAAATATTTCTCGACAGTGAAGCTGAAAGAAAAAACGAATACTCACTGTTTATTTCTGCCTAGGTCATAGAGAAGAGCCACTGGGCTTCAGAGATAACCCCCCAAATCAAGAAGGGTGATGAGGAGGAAGGAGGTAAAACAGCTGGCCTGTGATTCACTCTTCTCCCGTTACCAATGACACAGTCCCAGGGAATAAAGATAGTGGTGACCTGGGTTAACCTGCTGGTACATATGTTAATAACTGCTGACCTCCTGGCAAATGGATTAACGATATTTGCTAGAAGGAGAATCTTGAGCTATGTAATGCATTTAGCAGCATAGCCCTTGTTTAGGATTGCTTATAGAAAACAAATCTAGAACATACGGGTTTATAAGGCACGTCTCCCTGAAAAATGCCACACAAGCTCTGAAACTTAGGTTTCGGCTTGCTCTCTTGTTTCATGGCTACCTTTCGTGAGACTTTGTGTGAGATGCCCCATCGTTCATATTGATGGATGGTGAGTATTTTCCTTAGCAGACAGTGCAAAAGTCTTAAAGTGAAAATATGCCTGACATGTTTGAGGGGCAGCCAGGAGGCCACTGTGGCTGAAACAGAACAAGCCAGGGGGAGAATAATGGGAGATGAGATTACGGAGATGACAGACTTCAGATCACATGGAAACTTCTAGGCCATTGTAAGTACTTGCCTTTCACACTGAAGGAAATAAACCTTTAGAGTACACTAAAATAAAATCAAGGTAGAAATCAGGAACAGAAATAACTAGAAAACTTTAAAATTCAAAGAACATTACTAAGCTAAACGGCCAAGCAACACGAAAAATACTCAGTGCCATTTGTAATGAGGTACACAAATTAAATATACCATTTCATTTCTATTAGACCAATAAAAATTTTATAATCTGACAATTTATGTGTTGGTGATAATGGGAAGCAACCAAACCTCTTATACACTGCAGGTGGGAGTGAAAACTGATACAAACTCTTTGGTAAATAATTCAGCCTCATCTACTATCATTGAAGATATGAACACCCTGTGACCCAGCTATTCCACTCCCAGGAACAGACATCCTAGAAACATGTTTGCATGTGTACCAGAGACCTGTACAAGAATATTCATAACAGCATTGCTTGTAATGGCAAAAGTATGAAACAACCCAAACAACCATCAACATTTAAACAGATAAACCATGTTATACTCATATAACAGAAGACTATTCAGCAGTGAAAATGAATGAAATACAACTATGCACATATTCATGGGTAAATCTCAATAATATAATATTGACTGAAATAAGTTGCAAAAGAATACATATATAACTTTCCACTTACATAATGTTCAAATATGTGCAATATTAACAATATATGTTTAGAGATACATACATGCAGTAAATTGAAAGGAAATGAAAAAACACAAAATTCTGGTTAGTGATAATCTCTTAGAGGGGAGAGAACAGGTGCTTACTGTTTTGTTTTTCTCCATAAGCTATATAAATTTTATAAATTTTTTTTTATCTACTTAATATCTTAGGAAAAGGAAAACATTTACAAACATATACACATAATATACACACACAATCATTTATATATACTCTGGGGCAAAAAAAATCACATATGATATCAACAAAAGATCTCATCTTAATGATTTCTCCACAGCAACCAGACTGTTGACCTCACTTCTTTAAATAAAACACTATCCTCCTTTGGCTTTTATGCTAAAATGCTTTACCAACTCTCCTCCTATATCTCTGCCACTCTTTGTCTTCTTTATAGGTTTATCTTTCCAGGCCACTAAACATAATTCCTCTCCAGTCTGTTGCACTACAATACTCTCCCTTGCTCTCTAAGGTTCAGCCACCCACAATTATCTTTAGTTCCATTAACACAATATGTTTCCTCCATCATAGACATACTATTTTGCACATACTATTTTCTGTCCTCATTCTCCAATTCATTTTCTAGACCTTAATTCAAATCTTGTTTTCTTAGAAATCCTTTTTCTGACCACCTGTATCAGTCAAAGTCCTGACAGGAAGAAGAATACTCAAAGGGGTAATTTGAAGAAGGTCAAACCAAAGGACTAATGATCACTTGATAGAGTTAAGGAAACAAGTGATATTGAAGTACCCAGAGACTCAAACTAACAGAAAGCTGTTACCAACCACAGTTTTGAAAGGACAAAATAAGAGAAGTAGTATAAAGTCATTGAAAGCAATGGCTGTGGAAGAGTGGTCATCTGAGTGGTGTTAATAACATAGCTAGAGAATGCAGTCACTGCAAAATCTCAGCACACCAAGAAGGAGATGGAGAGTAAATACCCCTACCTCCTTCTCACCCTCTAATATTCTGTTAGTGTCTCCAATTGGCCAAACCCAACCAGAAGCCAGAGAGCAAGGCAACTCAGGTGATGCAGTCTCTAGAGGTCAACCTCTATGGATACAGAGTAGGGCAGAAATGGCAGAGAATGGATCTGGAGGGACAAACAGTGTCTACTTATTTTGTATCTAAGCATCCATTTCTCTCTTTCTACCTCTTTTGAAAAAAAGACCTCATATCTGAAGCACAGGGAAAACACAAAGTTCTACAGCCACTGTGAATCATAGGTAGATTTCAACTTAGTGATACTTCCAACTGAACCTAAATTAAAATGTTAGATACCAGTAGTACCCTTCATATAAGGTAGCAGCAAAAAGAGAGCAGTTAAAAAATTACTCAATATAAAATATAGCTGCTATGGTCTCTATCTTTGTAGTTGGTTTTGAAGCCTAAGTTGACTTGATCACCAGAGCTTCCTTGTTTCACCATCCAATCTATGTTCACCTTACTGTCTGCTAACACCTTTGCAGGTTGGGTTGTTTTACCTGGTAGAGTGACTCAAATCTTCATTCTCAAAGGATTCAAGACCATAGAGGCCATCTTTTTATTGGGCTACCACATTTTCCCATTGAACATTATTACTGGACATAGAAAAATTAATAAGGGTGTCATTGAATGATTTCCAGATGAAGTCTACCTATCCTGCACCACATAGCAGCAATCCAATTGTTCCTCGATACTTGTGCTCAACCAACAAGGTCAGTAGATGACCTTTCCTCACTATTAATTCAGTGTCGATGAGCCCCAGAATGGGTAACCTCAGCGTCCTGAAGCATGACTGGAGTTTCATATAATATACAGCACCTTATAGGAAAAGCAGTCCAACCTCACAAGATATTATTCTCAGCTGGAACCCACACTGAAACTTCAGCAGGCCATTCCACAAAACTCTCAAGCCAGCTGCTTCTGGATAATGTGGCACATGGGAAGATCAGTGAATTCTATGAGTATGAGCCAATTGCTATACCTATTTCATAATATAATGAGTGTCTTGGTCTGAGACAATGTTGTGTGAGATTCCATGATGACAAATAAGGCTTCTGCTGGCAGACACACTGCAGGCAGAGAAAGAAAATCCATATCTGAAATATGTAGCTTTCCTCATGAGGACAAATCACTTCCCCCTCCATGATGGAAAGGGTCCAATATAATTATCCTATAACAGATACTCCCTGTTCACCAAATCTACTTAGCATCATGCCATCAATCTAATGGGCAAGCATTATCTTCTATGCAATATCAAGACATTCAAGGTCCTTTTAGACTACATAATGCTAAAAAGCAGGAGAGTCAATGTAGGTCTGGAGTAAGATTGTGAAGGTATACTGTTACTCCTGCCACAGGAAATCAAACTATATCTGATCATCTTTATTGATGGAAATAGAAAAGAATACATTTGCTAGGTCAAGGATCAGAAACTACAGCCCACGAGCCAAATCTGTCCCGCTAACTGTTTTTGTATGGCTTTCGAGCTAAGAGTGATTTTCAAATGGTTGAAAAGATCAAAAGAAAAATAATATATTATGACATAAAAAAATGATATGAAATTCAAATTTCAGTGTTCACAAATAAAGTTTTATTGGAACATAGTCACATTCATTTGTTTATGTATCGTCTATAACTGCTTTCACACTACAATGGCAAAGTTGAGTAGTTCTGAATGACTCTCAAAGCCTAAAATATTTATCATCTGTCCCTTTGCAGAAAAACTTTACCGACCCCTGTACTAGGTCAATAGCTGCCCACACGGTCACAGAGAATGTGTTGGTTTTCTCCAGTAAAGATAATATATCCAGAAAAGCAACTGTGATTGGAATCATCATCGTCTGATCAAGTTCGCTATAACCAGCAGTCATTCTGCAAGACCATTGGCTTTTGCACCAAATAGGCAAGTTAAATGGAAATATAAGAAGAAGCAGTATTTCTGCATCTTTTGGTCTTTGACGACGGCATTAATCTCTGCAATCTCCAGAAATGTAGTATTGCTTCTGGCATGCAATTTTAGCACAGTAGTTGGTTGTGGGGGAGACAATTCTAGGGTCTTCTACTTATGTATTACCATAAAAATCTTTATGCCACAGGTCAAACTACCAATATAGGGATTCTGCCTGTTACTAAGTATATCCATTCCTGATATACATTTAGGACTGGGAAAATAACCACAAAATGGTCCCACAGTCCCAATGCATTACCGTCAGACAGAATCAAGACAAGACTTCATCTACCACTTCACTTCCATAAACCCCTAAGACTGACTGGTGGACGATGGTGGTACTTAGAGTCTCCAGGGATAAATGTCAGTTCAGAACCAGAATCTAATAACTCCTTTGAAGTTCTGGACATTGCTTTCCTCACTGCATGTTTATGCTGGTAAATAGCCATAAGTTCTGTAGCAAAGGCTTGGAGGAAGATACAGAGTGTGCCCTTGTGGCCATACTACGAAATCCTTAAAGGGACTCAGCCTCTATCTCAATTAAGGCACTCCAGATCTGTGGACTGACTTAAGCCTGGGAACTTTATAAAAACTCTGAATCCCTAATATGGTGGCTCAAGTTGAATCTCTGCCCATCAGACAGAAATGTTCTACTCATAAAGGTAAAACAAGAGACTGCAAAATTTTTTCATTCCTAGGTACCCCAATTAGCATCACAGATCACAGATCTCTGTGAATTGAAACATTCTGGTTACTACTCTTCTCTGTCCCTTATTTTGGTAATTTTTCCACCACAACTTTGATGATTATGTGCCAACACCAGGCCTCTACCATCCCAGGTTTCCATTATTCCTTTGAAATCAGCTCAATTCAGTTAAAGCATCTCCATCCACAACCATCCTCAGCCTACAGAGAAAAGCCCACAACAAACCTTTTTCAGTATTCTAGTGCTTAATACCTTGGTGATAAGGGAGTCCTCTGGGCCCTCATAGAGGGTACAGTTAACCTACATGAGCTGGTTATACTTTATCATTTCCAACATTCCTACCTTCCAGAGCCTTCAAATTTCTTCCCCTACAAAATGTCAGGGAAGTTCCAGCATCTCAATCTCATTAACTGAAAAATCAAGTCCAGGCTTCAATTAACTGACTTAGTAGGTAGATTGTTAATGCCATTCCTGAAGAGTTTGAGCCAACACATTAAGACCCAGATCCTATGTGAGTACATCTATATTGATAAATTCAATCTCATCTAATCTGATATTTAGCTTCCTTAATCCAACACTCTTAAAATCTCTTCCTCTACTTGCTTCCCAGACTCATGTGATACAAATTGACAAAATACTGCAACTTCTTCAGTGCATGGTAATTGTCACTTGGTGTAGGCATTGCAATTCTACATCTCGTTTATGCTGATCATTTGATTGATTCTTTGACCTCCACTTAGTCTGTAAGTTCCAGAATAGATTGTGATTGCTTTTGCACATCACTTTCCCCCACAGAATATAATATGTACTCATTATTTGTTGAGAGAATGATTATAACAGAGGAATGTTTTATACCCTTAACATCTAAAACGTTACTTATACCCAAATATTGGCAAATAATAAAAACAAAATATATTGGCAAAAAATAAAAATAGCCAATAACTATTTCACAAGTGATTAGTGAAAATCCAGTTAAAGATGAACATCATTTATTGTCAGTCAAATTGGTTAAAGTTAAAGAACTAGAAAATATGGGTAAATAGCCATCTCACACATTGTCAGTGATAGCATAACTGACACAGTCATCATTTTAGTGGACAATTTCACAACATTCATCAAAATTTTATAAAATAATTCACCTCTGACACAACATTTCTACACTAAGAAGTTCATTTTAAGGTAATCATACAAGTGCATCAACAGCTAAGATGGTCATCATAACTTATTTACAATAGTGAGAATTAGAAATGAAATACTCGTCAATAAAGATCTGATTAAGTAAATCATGGCATAGAGAATACTATGTAACAGTTACAAATGATGATGTGTATCTGTATTTATATGTAAAGTTCTCTATGACAGAATCTAAGTGAAAAAGCAAGTTAACAAATAGCATATACAGTATTAACCCATTTATGCTTGTGTGTGCGTGCGCGCACGCGCATGCATGTGTGCGTAATGGTGTCTATTGAAAAATATGTACCAAAATGTTAACATTGATTATTTCTAGATGGTAGGATTGGGCTATTTTCATTTTCTTCTTGGTAACTTTTTGTTATAATCAAATCTTTTAAAATTATTGGTATATTACTTTTATAATATAGTTATTTCCACTATGAAAAACAAAAATTTTAAATGGTTTTGGACTTCTCTAATCTAATCTGATTTAATATATCAAATCAGTTCCAGTATTATTTTAAATACTATATATTTCAAAGAGGATAATCAAAAAGGTATTTCTAAGGAAGTCAACCCATTTCAGAGTAAAAAACTACATCGAAATATGAAAGTAAAAATAAAGAGCACATAAAATAACACAGACAATAAGTATTATATTGAGCTACATACTAAAAGCAGAGTATACAAATGAAGTCTTGGAAATATTAATGAAATTGATACATCGTGAACAAATATAGAAAAAAAATTTGAAAGAGAGAACATTAGTTAGTAAAAACTCCAATTCTAATTGGGAAGATGGTGTATGATACCTTGACATTAGGAATTACTCTATGTTATAAAGGAAGAATAGTCAGGAGAGTTCCTTCACTGGAAAAGAAAGAAATAAAAATAATAAAATTGGATGCTGTCAACAAAGATACATGATTAAAATTTATTATCTATCATTCTATTTTCAATGAAAAGCAACAGGACATCTCTACAAGATTCTGAGTAATAAAATTAATAAATCACATACTTTAAAAGCATATGAAAACCTTCAAGAGACATCAGGAAACTTAAAGCAAAGATACTGTACACTTTAGTCTTCTAGATCTTCAATGTCTACAACATGGGTGTGAAATCATCACAGAAAAATAAAAATAAGAAATATTTTCGAAAAGAAAGAAAAACAAAACACAAATCAGTTCTCCCTCTGAAGTTCACAATGACCCTTGAAATATATTTTTCAAGACACATATAAAAAAATTCTTTACTTCCATATCTCACAGATCCTCCCATTTTATGTTTTGTAATTACAGCTCAAAAAAGGAATAGTTGTCCTGATAAAAATTTCCTGCTAGGTGAGGAGGAGCTGAAAGAATCCAATTCTCCATTCATTGGACAGCCTGTATTTGTCCGAGACAAATGCAAATATCTCCAATGCCCAAGGTTCTATACATATTAAACCACTAGCCAATGGTCACACAGTGAATAGTCCTTTGAGAAGTTATATCAAACTGCTATCCCAATGTTAGTAGTTTTTGAACATTGCATCTATACTCAGAGAACGGAGATAAAATAAATTCAGCTTTATCTTACAACATTCATTTTTATAAAAATAGGTGTACCTGTTTTTGCTGCACGTAAGTTCTGTTTCTCATTGCCATCATGATGTCCAGTTCTCCACTGATTTAAAACTTCCTGAAAGGACTGGGCAGAAGCTTCTTCATAGAATGATTCTTCACACAAGGGGCTATCTCCCGGATCTGTACATTCTGCTATTTTTGTTGTTGAAACTTCTGCCTAAACCAATTAAAAATGTATCTAAGTATGCTTTACTAAATTTTCTATATCTTAAAATACAGGTATATTAGTTATGAGATACTATGAATCACACATTATTTTTTAACTTAGAGTGTTTTTAAGTTGTACTTACTTATCTGCTTTACTGATTTCTTTAAAACTCTATTGCCAATTATAAATGATCTCTTCAGAAATCATTAAAACTAGAGCCTACAGGACTGAAGATTTATCATAATGTTATTCATCAGTGTTCTCCCTGGAAAGCTGCAATAGCCTTGTATCTAATCCTCCTACTTCTCCAATCTCCTGCTCCCTGCAAACTCCCACAGCAAAAAGAGCAGTTTTGTTTTGTTTTGTTTTTTCCTGAGGAAGATTCACCCTGAGCTAACATCTGTTGCCAATCTTCCTCTTTTTTGCTTGAGGAAGACTTGCCCTGAGCTAACATCTGTGACAATCTTCCTCTGTTTTGTATGTGGGTTGCTGCCACAGCATGGCTGCCAACGAGTGGTGTAGATTCATGCTGGGGAACCCAACTGGGGCTGCTGAGGCAGAGCACACTGAACTTCACCACTAGGCCATGGGGCCAGCCCTGAAACAGTAGTTTTTTAATGTGTAAATCTGATCACGTCAATCCCCTGCTCAAAACCCTCCAATAACTCTCTGTGAAACCCCCAGTTCCTACTAGGACTTACAGGGCCCGACACCTCCACCTTTTACTTCACCTCCTTCAGTTCTCCCCTTCGCTCACCCTACTCCAGCCAAACTTATCTTCTTGCAGTTCTGGGAAACCATCAAGCACATCCCCATTGGGGGCCTTGCCCTAGCTATACCCAATGCCTGCAATGGTCCTTCTCCATACCCTCACATACCCATTCCACTCATTTCATTTGGTCTCTGTTCAAATGTCAATCAAAGAGTTCTTTGCTGATGACCCTAAAATAATTAGCCCCTTTCTCCCCACTTTCTAATCCCTTATCTGCTTTATTTTTCTCCCCATAAGGTATCTCCATGTGAATTTACTCATGTTCATTTGTTTGCCTGTCTTCCCCCATTAGAACATAACGGGGGGGCCGGCCCCGTGGCTTAGCGGTTAGGTGTGTGCGCTCTGCTGCTGGCGGCCCGGGTTCGGATCCCGGGTGCGCACCGACGCACCGCTTCTCCGGCCATGCTGAGGCCGCATCCCACATACAGCAACTAGAAGGTTGTGTAGCTATGACATACAACTATCTACTGGGGCTTTGGGGGGGAAAAAAAATAAAAATAAAAAAAAACATAACGGGGTCAGGGATTTTGCCTTTTTCCTCAGTGCCAAGAACAGGGCCTGGAATAAAGTAGGTGCTCATTAAATTTAGTTGAATGAATGAACAAATTAATTAATGCATATGAAACACTGCATACTTCTCAGCTTAATGATGGTGGAAAGGATGAATTCAGTACAAAATATAGATCCACTGTGAAAATAACCACAAAAAAATAAAGGTAGGATTTGGCAGTTATCCAGTGAATCAGAGAAAACAGCCAAATTAGGAAACTAAAGCAAAATAAATTCCACACCAATGCTGAATTATCAAATGTGGATTACCTATACTGATCAAATTGCTAAAACTCCATTGTGTATCTTCCAGATATAGGAGTAGAATCCTCTATGTCCAGCCCTTAATAGCAAAATAAACAGGCAGATTGTTAAGGTACAATTGAGAGAAGATTGTTAAATGTGTGTATAAAAAAAATTAAATATAAACAAAAAGCATCTGGGAACCTGCCAGAGACTGTGCTAACTGGTGGCCACAGAAACACAGGTTAAGAGGTCCACAAAAGACACAGGTGCAAGGAACGGGTATTTAACTCAGATAAACAAGAATTGTCTGGGCGAAAAGTGGCAGGGGTAGCATTGTAGAGAGAGGGAATGGTATATACGCTAAGACATGGAGTCAAACAGCGCGGTGGCATGGAACTGTAAGTAGTTGTGTTACTCTAGCAAAAAATGAGATATGAGAAAATAAAAAGGGTGGAAAGACAAGCAGGGGCAGATCATGAAGGATCCTGCCTGCCATACAGAAGAACTTAGATTTAAACATATTGGAAACACAAAGCCACGGAAGAGTGGCTCACACACTGCTGTGTGGGAGAGAGAGAAAGTGGGGAATAGTGAATTTGGATGCAAGGAAACCAATTAAAACATAACAACCATTTGGCAATATCTATCAACATTACAAATGCATAATCCTCTTCACCTAGGAATTTCAGGATTTTATTATATGGATACACTTACATATAAGAAAAACAATACTTTTCAAAATTATTCTTTATACTATAGTTTGTTCTGGAAAAGATTGAAACAGTGTCAATGTTGATCACTGGAAAATAGATTTTAAAAAGTCATTTCATATCGAATAAATTAGTATTAAAATAAGTTAGTATTTTACAAACACTATAGAATGAGAAGGCTGTAGAATGTACTTATATGGATATTAAAACTATATTGTTAAGTGTAAAAAGCACGTTTGCAGAGCAGTACGTAACATATTAATATTTGTGTAAAGAAATATATACATACAAAACTTGAATTATCGTTGACTTCTAGAAAGGGAGAGAATGAAATGCACTTTCCACTTTATAAACCTCTTGCACTTTAAGAAAAAGCTAATTTCAGTATTTGGAATAGCAGTAAGGATAGAAGTGACCACATATTCAAGATAGTTTTTAGATGGTGGACTGCATGAGACACAGTAACTGATTAGATGTGCAGAGGAGGAGGAGAAAGGATTGTAGAATATAACTGTTCTTGCTAGAAGATTGGCTGCCACCAATAACATCTATAGGTTTTGGGGGAGAGGTGATGAATTATTTTGAAAATACTGAGTTTTATAAGTATGTTTGAAGGTACTTAATGGGTATCCAGTAAGCGATATGTGAGTGTGTGTTTGTATGTGTGTGTGCTGCGCTCATGAAGGACAATTCAGTGCTTAATACAAAATGTTTTAAGTGTGCAGTGATTCCAGCAGCTCTCCAGGGAAGCTCCCTTCCAAGCCATGAATCAGAGATGTAAGACATTTGCATTTTACAGCTATGCCTTTGGAATACCTGGCTTCCACATGGCAGTAGCAGGATAGAAAAAAGCCAGAGGACTATACATTGGCTCTTAGATGTTTCAGCCCACAGCTGTCATATGTCACTTCCACTCAGAGCCCGACACGACCCTGCCCGATTCCAAAGCGACTAGGAAATTTGAAGGAGCACATGGAATCCAGGGCCATTACATTTATTATGTCTCTAGGTCGCATGATATCCCTGTAAGATATGTTTTAATACCCCCACTTTCCAGAAGAGGAAACAGAGGATCAAAAAGGCTAAGTAAATTGCCTCATGTTACAGAGCTATAAGAACAGCAGGGTCAAACCCAGGTTCAGTGTCTAAAATGAAAGCTCTTTTATGAACTGCATCCCTTTCCAAGCATATCCATTGGCTTGAATTCATAAAAAAAGATCTAAGACAGATATCAAGTTTTAGCACTCTTTTAACTCATCCAGGCATTTGAATTATTATGTTAATCAGATTCCTGGGCCTTAACCCAGATGTAAAAAAATCAAAATTTGAGTGGCAGACTGGGAATGCACATTTTTAACAAACTCACTCAGTGCTTGTGATACTTAAACCACTGCTCTTCAGCACAGAGGAGGACCAAGTACATGAGGGGGGCATCTCTTCAGTGTGTGTACTGCGCACAGGTGCACACCTGAGGGCCGACAGTTACGCCCAACCAGGAGTACTCACCACAATCACTGAGCAGCTGTTAAAACTACACATGTCTGGTCCCACCCATAGAGATACTGAACTCGGCTATGTGTGTTTCTTTAACATTTCTCCAGTTGACTCTAATATACACTCCTGGATGAAACTACCAAATTAATGGTTTTTAAGTTAAGACAAGAGGTGGAGGGTCTATATAGTGGACACAGTTACCTCTGGGGACAGGAGACAGCATTTATTGTAGGGATTAAAAGCACAGGCAAAGTAGTCAGCTCTATAGCTTTCTAGAAGGGCAAGTTACTTAATTCCTCTCTGCCTTTCTCATCTGGAATGGGGTAATAATAATGCAAAACTTATATGGTTATTGTGATTATTGGATAAAATAAAGCAAGTAGAGGATTAAGCACAATGCCTAGTATAAGGTGTTTAATAAATGTTAGCTGTTCATATATCACTATTTTTATTGATAGGATAAATTAGATGAAATGGCAGGCACAAAGGAGTAACCCTTAAAACCACAGCCTCTGTGTAGTGGTTAAAAGCAAGTAATTTGGAGTCATAAGTTCTGGGTTCAAATCTAAGTTCCACTGTTAGTGATACTTTGGGCAATTTATAAAAACAGTTCTTTGCCACTATTTTTTCATCTGAAGAAAAAAGGGAATAATTAATAAAGAACAAAAAGAGGTAATACATATAAAATATTTAGGACAGTGTCTGGTTCATAGCGGGTCCTCAACATTGTTATTATAATGATGAGGATATAACGCATTCCGCGATTCTTTACAAACACCCTTGGCAGGTCTGCTAGAAAGCAAAATCCATGCAAATATGCTGACTTTCCTGGACAATTCAAGCATAATTCCTCTGCTGGAAAGAGGTCCTACAAGCATAGAGCACATTTCTTTCATGTTCTACCACCACGGGTTTGGAAATCAACAGACTGGAGTTCAAGCCTGACCCTGCCACCAAGTAACAAGCTGTGTGACTTTGGCCAAGTTATTCACTATTTCTTAACACAGTGAAAACGTGAGGGGCATCTAAAAGAAGAAAGACTATTACACAGATCAAATTTGAGAAAGTTTGTTTCTTGCTAAAGAATCAGTACAATTTTATTATAAAAATATAGACACGAGGGGCTGGCCCGGTGGCGCAAGCGGTTAAGTGCGTGAGCTCCGCTGCAGCAGCCCGGGGTTCGCCAGTTCGGATCCCGAGGGTGCACAACACACTGCTTGGCAGACCATGCTGTGGCGGCATCCCATATAAAGTGGAGGAAGATGGGCACGGATGTTAGCCCAGGGCCAGTCTTCCTCAGGCAAAAAAAAGAGGAGGATTGGCAGATGTTAGCACAGGGCTGATCTCCTCACAAAAAAAAATATATATATATAGACATGAGCTGATGAGCTCTAGCACCTCATGAGATCAGTAGTCAATCTGAATAACTACCAGAATGTGATATAAATCCAATTTTAAATAACTGAAATTGCCTGTCACCTAAAACACTTGGCAAAGTTTGGTATTTTTAGCCTCCTTGGAGTCCTGATTAATATGAAATTGTTATATTGCATTGTGCTACTTTTTTTTATATTTCTCCCAAATACTCATTCATTTCCTGATGTGTTGGAAATGCCCAGAAAGCCACATGGTCAAAGAATCATTCATCAAAAAGTCAGCATTCAGTGGAATCAAAGTAATCTTCTTAAAAAGATTTTTACAGCCAAGATGTGTTTGATTCACAAAAAACAAATTCATATTAAACAATAATGTGACAAAATAGTCTGTAAAACTCTACAGCTCCAGTTAAGTACATGAATGATGGTCTACATGATCATGTATGACAGACAATGTCTACAACAGTTTCCTCAGCTTACCTCAGAGCTGCTCCCCTGCAGAAGAGATTTGGGTTTATGCTGACTTTTACTAACCTCTTCTCTTGAATGATTCTCCCCCTTGAGTTCACCTGGATTAACTTCCTTTATAAACCGATGGGCAACATCCAACACATTGGATAATATTTGAGATTTTGCCTATTAAAAAAGAAATAAAATATGACTAAAAAGCCTAATATGTGACCCTAAGTAACTTAGATACATTAGATCATATTTTCATTATTCTATGACTCCTAAAATCCAGTAAATTTTATTTAACATTTAAAAGTACAAATTGACATTTATATCAACAATTGATATATCAATTTATATCAATATAACAGTGACAGCTGCCATCTCTTGAGGGGCTAGTTTGGGCTCATACTATCTTAAAAACATACCATTTAATTCTCAACGCAACTCTGAAGCATAATTATTTTTATCTCCGTTTTAGGGATAAAGAACGGAAAGCTGTGAGAGTTTAAATAACTCGGCCCTGGTCACATGGTGAGTGGTGGCAGAGCTGGGAAGTGACCCAGGTGTGTATAATTCTGATGACTCATAGCCTTTTCACTAGGTCAACCCCAAAAGATAGATGTGTTCTTTTGTAAACACCATGTCTAAAGAACTAAATATAGCTAATCTAGTAGGAGACTGAATAAGCAGTTATGAGTATTCCTTGGTGATAAAAGATCTTTAGAAAGTATTAACTATTCACAAGTGCACATCAGGAAGTGCCTCCACCTGTGGCTCCCTAGTAAACCCCAAGCCGTCCCTCGAGTTGTGTCCTTGCTCACGACTTTCACTTACCAGGAAGGCCCTCCCTCTTCTACTATCTTCGTTGCCTGCAGACTCCTACTCCTCCTTCTGGATTCATCCCAAGTTACTCCCACAGGTTCAGGAGCCTTTCTGTGCCCTCCTCCCCTGGCTGTGAGGTGCCCATCCTCTGTACCCTCCACCAGCTCATACAATATTGATTTTACAACACCTTTTGTTGTCTACCTCTCCCATCATACAATATAAGCCCACAGAAGGAAAAACCATGTCTTCTTAAATCTTTGTATGGCTACCACAGTGGCTGGCAAATAACATATGGTAAAGATAAGGTGTTGGGGGAAGGAGAGGAAGAACTCCAGAATTAGAATAAATGATTGAGAAAGAGAATTCAAAAAACATTTCTGCATGTCTTAAGAGGAGCTGAAAAGGAAAAGGCAAATCTCAGGAAGGCCCTATTCTCTAAGGGGTCTCTTATCAGCAACCACCCTGGTCTGCCAAGGGCCCAGCAGGATTCTAGATCCCATCTGAGCTTGAACCAAACTCCAGGGAGAAGACACAGACCATTCAGAGGCTCTCTGAGAACCTGGCGTTAGGAATACAAGCAATAGGTCTTACTTCTTGTCAAATGTCCTCAACACAGAGAAAAACTTCAGCAGGAATCAGAAATAATTATTTTGTACTCTCCTATGGAAAATTCCTCTTTTTAAATTTTCATCTAGTTACCTGTGTAAGTAGCTAAGATCACACTGAAATTTTCCAGTTATGACTTTTCGTAAATCTGTTAAGATTCACCACAATCTGATTCTGGAATAAATCAGTGAACATCATATTAACCAGTGTTGTTTCACACTGAATTAATAAACTATCTATGAAAAATGACTAACGTGACCTATGCACATATTGCTGTCCATACATAAACCTATGGTATCTGCTCCAGATTTTCCCAATGATCATCAAAAAGCCTATAGAGACCTGTGTAATCCTTATTTTTAAAAGAAATTCAAGCTAATGGTAATGCTTCAACCTTCCAGAAATACCTGTATTTTAACAAGTTTTTTTAAACAGAGTAATTTAATCTAAGCCTGATTTTAAATTCTCTAGAATAAAGATCTATTGATTTCAAAGGTGGTTAAAATGTCTAGTTTTCATTTTTTAAAATCTCAAAGAAAATAGTATTAATTTTACATAAAATGATCAAGTTAGAACTATCATACAAATATATGTTTGTTTAAATAACACAAAACAAAGATTATTCCTATCCTAAAATAAATCGTGCTATCAATGTCCCAATAATTTTTTATAACATTTTAGTGTAGCATATTAAGAGACTCTGAAATGGCCAAAAGAAAATGATTTTATTCTTAAATTAAATTTACTGCTAGAAAATAAGATAAACATCATGGATAATTGACAAAATGGAATACTATACCTGAATATCTTAAAGTTCTGTTAACTCAGTATAAATAAACTGCCAATAAATGGAAATTTTCTTTCCTAGAACAGCTTACATTTAAATACAACTTTTCTCGATTGCAAGAGTATATATGTATACTTTACTTTTCTTATTCTTAAAATTATCATGCCAGGAAAGGGAACAGATATTTTGATCCCCGGTACATAGACAAGGAAACCCAAGCTCATAAAGCTCAGGTCAAAGCCAAATGGATACAAAATGTTGGGGCTTGAGTTGGAACCAAGGTCTGTCTTCTTCTAGCCTCATCCCTTTTCCCTACTGAATTACGTTAACTCAGAAAATGAGTTTTACTTTCGATTTCCTGAAACTTAAAATATATTAAATTTTATCTCTAATAGACATAAACATTGTTCCTTCCTTTAAAAAAAAACTATAATTCTATATATAAATGCTTATGCAGGCATTAGGTTGTTGAGTTTTTGTTTTAATTTATTTTGCTTATTTTCATCTTTGACCAAGCACTAGAAAATTGAAGGGAAGAATAGAGAATCTTCTTTCACTCATCTCCTCTGTCACCTACATATTGGGCAGGGGGGCAGTTGGAGGGCAACATGAACTTTGAAGAAACAAAATTTTTGAACAACAAAGTTAAAAGTATTCTGTAAGAGTAGCATTATAGAAAAAACTTAAACCATCTCTCTTAAGTAAGAGGTATAAAATTTAACAGATTCATTAAGATTAGAAATTCACCACAATACTATAATATGCTATTTTACAACATGTACTTAAACGTTCCTCAATATATGAAAAATATATCACACGTATGTTAATGATTTGCAACTTCCTGTTCTGCAGAGCTAATCTCCCATACTCACTCCAGAGAAGAATGGACAACTGATTGCTAGGCACTCACATCTCTCCACCTAGGTAGGTGTCCCCTTGAATCTGGGTGGAGCTCTGTGATAGTTGAATAGAATGTGAGAGTAGTAATGAGTTTCACTTCCAATGGCAAGGTGGTAAGAAACAGGTGTGCCTTCTCTACCCTTTGACTGTTTAGCAAGCTTGGCAAAAAGATGACAGTGACCTTGGAAGTAACATATCAAAGATGGTGGTGCTACAGATAAAAGTCCCCAAATCATTGCTTAAGGGGGAGCTGTCTTAGGACCATCCATGTTGAATTCTTAGATGAGTGAAAAATAAACTTCACTGTTTTAAGCCACTGAGATTTGGAGGTTCTTCTTTTACTGCAGTGATCATTACCCTAATATATAGCCTCATTTTTGGAAACTTCCCCTAACTGGGTATTCTGTTTCAGCTAGCAAAAAAAATTGTCTTAAAAAGGTGTTTCCCATTAATAACATATAGAAATATATTATTTCCATGTCTTGCCAAAGTTTTCCTCTCTGTTTGGAAAGGCTAGATTTCCTATTATAATTCTATTTATCATTTTAGGCCCAGATCAAATATTATCCAGTTCCAACGTATATCCAATGGCATTATAAACGCAAGCTCAAAAGGACAAATTGTTTAATCTCTCTGAGATTAACTTTTCTTCCTCAACTAACCACAGCAAAATTAACATATCTTCTGCATGCTCTTATAACTCCTTGCATACATCAATACCAGAGCTTTGCTCCTCAATATGTGATCCATAAATCAGCAGCAGCACCATCACCCAGAAACTTGCTAAAAATATGAAATCTCAGGTCCCATCAGACTCACTGAATCAGAATCTGCAGTTTAACATGTAACCTGAAAGCACATTAAGGCTTGAGAATCACTGTGTCAGAAGACTTATCAGGGGCCAGCCCTGTGGCTTAGCAGTTGGGTGCACGTGCTTCGCTGCTGGCGGCCCGGGTTCAGATCCTGGGCGCGCACTGATGCACCACTTCTCCGGCTATGCTGAGGCTGCGTCCCACATACAACAACTAGAAGGATGTGCAACTACGACATACAACTATCTACTGGGGCTTTGGGGAAAAAATGAATAAATAAATAAAATTATTAAAAAAAAAAAAGAAGACTTGTCAGTCAGTTATAATTGGTTGAATACATCTGTCTTCTCTTTCGTGATTATAAATTCCTTTAGAGAGAGGACCGTGTCTTATTCTGTCTTATATACCATGTTTTCCGTCACCCTCTTTCAATTCTCCTCCCTGCAGCCCTGTCTTTCACACTTTTCAGCTAGAATATTACTTGATGCTGGTTAAATACTTGAGAGATGTTGGTTGAGTCAAATTTAACTGGCTTACTGAGATATAAATGACTAAAAATTCCATTTAAACATTCTTTCCTTATACCCAAGCTATCTAAGGCAATGTCAACACAGACAAACCAATGGCACTATTAATAATAGCACAAAAAGGCAAATAATTTACCTCTCGAAGCCTAGGAGCTTGTACCTGTAAAATGAAGACTATCTACCTTTCAGAGCTGTTGTGAAGAATATACATGCTGCATGAAAAACACCTAGCAGAGTGATGACAAAAAGTAGTGCATTTAAATGATTGCTACCATTTTATCTAGATCACAATATACTACTTCTCTCTAAGAGAAATAGTTCAAATATCCAGTAAATAGAATTCCTGTCAAATTCAATAGACAGAGGTAGACTTCTGATGATGGTATAATGAAGAGGTCAGTAAATAATTCTATCCCCATAAAACAAATGTTAAACTGGATAAATTTGTTAAAAGCTATTTCAGGGCTCTGGAAACCAACCAAAAGCAAACAACAAGTTGAGAAGTGTCTACTCAAGAAAAACTGCTAAGACATTAGTGAAGGATAGCAAGAGTCCATGGCTTCCTTGCATGGGGCTGCCCCTATCTTCTATCTCCCTTCCCACGTTTGTCAATATTACTAGGGCGAGACTGGGCTTGCTGCACAGGCAGTGTGCTTGATTCCCAGTAGAGGACAGAATCTTGCAGCTGCAGTGGCACTATCAATAAACTAGCAAATTTGGTTATAA